ATAAAGTATAAAAATATATATAGTATAAATAGTAAGCTAATTAGCTAAGCTATTTTTTAAAAAAAAGCCTTAAGTTTAAAAGTAGTAAAAGTAAATTTACTTAAAATAAAATAAAGTAATAAGTATTATATAAAATACTAACTTACTAATAAAAAAAAAGCCTTTTAAAAGTTACTACTACTAAGCTTTAATCTACTAATTTAATATACTTATACTATAAAAGTAGTACTAATTAAATAAAAGTTTAAGCTTTATAAACTTTTAAAGCTAGTAATAAGCATTTACTAGCATAACTATTTTTATCTTTTAATTAAATTATATAAAATATAGTTACTACTTTATTTTTTTAAGTGTCTTAAGAAACTAGTAAAGGCAGCTAATAGTAGTATAAGCAGAGATTCTAACATAAATCTATATAATGTATTATAAGTACGCGTTAATACATGCATAGATTTCTACGCTATATAGTTTTAGCTTACTATAGCTATTAATAAACTAGATAAAGTTTAGGCTAGAAATAATATACTCTTTATAGTGTTACTATAAGTTATGCTTACAGCACTCTACTACCTTATAGTTTATTATATAATAGATATAAAATAACTAGTCCTATATAATAATATAGCTATGTTAATAAAAGTGTGTATAAAAATACTTTTACTTATACTTATTAATAATACTTTTTTTAGCTTTTAACTAATAAGTTATTATATAAGCTTATTTACTTACTAGCTTTATTTAACACTTTATACTTTTTTATATAATTTAAGCTTAAATTAAAGTTATATAAGCATATATTTTCTAATTTAGAAGCCTTTATTATATAGTATATAAAGTATATTTAAATTTTTAAGCCTAACTTTAAAGAATAGCACTTAAATTTAATTCTTAACTTTATTTTTAACTTTAGTAAAAAAGTATTACTTTATATTTTATATTTAAAACTACTACTTAATTATATAAAAAGTAATATAAACTTAAAACTTTTTAAAAAAGTAAGTAGCTATTTATGTGTATATAACACTTTTATAGAAAAGCCTAAGTAGATAAAGTTAGCATAGTTTAAAGTTAATCTTAGAACGTTCTTCTATATTGCTACTATATTAGTAAGCACTTGTACAATGTAACTATTTAAAAGACACTTACTAGGCATTATAAAATTAACATGTATAAATGTGTATAAAATAATTATAAAGTTATAAGTAGCTAAAGGCTATAATTATATATAAAGTAAAGAATTTTTAAATTAGTAATTAGTTTTTTCCCTTCACTAGCTAACAGTCCGCCGTAGACTCAGATCGGCAAAACAAAAAGCCGAGCAACACGAGTAGAGCAGAAAAAGGATCGATAAATAAATACAATCAATAATCATCCCATACATCATATCCAAACCCATCATTCATCTCAGGAAGCCTAGAAACAGTGCTTCAATCTGACAGCATTAAAAACCTGTCTTTTACTACACTTCTTGCTAAAACAGAAGGTCCTTAGCACTATCGCAGCTGACAACAAATCCTGCCTTTAACTACTACTACTCTACTACTATATCTGCCTATTAGGTGATAGGATTGCTTAAGAGCTTAGGCGCTTAATCAGAGCGCATACGTAGGGTAGTCGGTGAGGGCTTAGATTAATAGCGGGTTATAGGCAGCTTAGTAGCTAGGCAAGGCTAGCAAGTTAACAATTAAGAATAAGACGTGCCTACATCTCCTGTTAGTTGTAGTACCTAAGCTTGTTTAACTTAGCTTATTTTACAATAGCAAGCGCTGTGGCTATTAAAATTAATAATGTTGAGCCTTCTCTAGCTTCGCTGCGCGAACTGCTTGTCCTAAGAGATATGTGAAGGTGTCACAGTTATGTTACGGCTATCCAACCCTAGAGTACTCAGACGTTAGATAGCTGTAACGTAGTCGTGACACATACTTATAGTAATAAAAAAATAATAAAAATAGTAGTAAAGATAAGAATTTAAGTAAGCTACTACATCTTTTTTTATATAGTAATTATCTAAGGTAATTTAGAAAATTCAACCTATTGCACTACAGAAACATGTTAATAGTAACAAAGAAAACCTCCTCTAATATAGTAGAGCACTCTACCCTCTAGCTATTAACTATTACTCTTAAAGGTCTATTTTAAACATAATACAATTAAACTTTTAAGTGTTACTTTCTGTAAGTAATTGTTTATAAAGTGCCTACCATCATATAGTCACTGTAAGGACAGAGCTCTGTACCACTGCGCTAATACAACTAAAAAGGTGCGAATAATCAACCAACGGTTGATATCTGCGTACAGAATAGTATATATACCCGTCGCACGTAAGCGCTATCTCGGCCTTACAGTTACATGCTTATAATAGTAGTCAACTGTTCCAGCAGTAACACCCTGTTGAGCACGCTGTATTAATACTATATAGCTGTAAAGCAAATCTCCTAGTGTAGCAAACAGAATATAGCGTAAGAAATAGGGGATATAGCACTTTGTAAGGAGTGGGATTCCTAATAGAGATTAGCAGGGTTACCCTGCGCTAGTCTCAAATGGTACTGCCCCACCTTTAACAAATATCATATCGCCTGTCTTGCGCTGCCCCTCTCCTCCCTCATTACACAACTCTTCGCTCGATCGTGAGCAATGACAGACATAATGAGGGTATCATCAGCACCAATCCATGCCCTCAGTATTGGAAAAGCCTTTAGCAGTCTCTCCCCCCGAGAAAAACTTTACGCCCATTATTTGTCACGGTATGTGCCAAGAATGAAGGCCTCAGACGAGAAATAATAACAGCTACATTAAGAGCAGCCTGGCATGGAACAAGAATCATTCTCCGACAGGTCTCTCCCGAATCAATTGGGATTTTTGACTTCATACTTGAAGTCTTCGCGAGCTGTTCTGGCAATTGGGATTCTCTCGTGGAAGAAGCCTCCATAAGTTCAGGGGACCTGGATACATTTCTGGAATACGCTGCCACATTTCTTTCTAATATCGGGAATTACTACGTTAGTCGTTTTTCTATTTTAACTTGAGACGGTCTAAATGCATGTACAGGGGTCTGGAGATCAAAAATTCGTTCCTTCCATCCCTGGAACGTCTTTGCAGAAGCTTGCACAGAGATCTGCAAGTCTTCGTGCATTATACAATGAAATATATCAGAGAATAAACATCGTACCACCCTACGGATTAGGGTTCCCAAGTGATCGTGCTCAGAGCGCCTATTATCCTGGGGATTCCATCCTTAGCCAAGAGGAGATTAGTCTCGTGTCCCGAATTCTAGAGGAGCGTTCGATACGACCTGAAAATACTCGAATCCGAAAGACGGATGGCGTTGAAGGCCCGACATATGAGATTCTTCAGGCATCCGTGGACCAAGATCCTCAGTGGTTGGAGTTCTCCTCGCCTGATCTTAACGGCACGATCAAGATCCTACCAGGCGATCATTCCAAGGAACTTGCAAGCGTCTGCGCTTGCATGTCGGAGGCTATTAAATACACGACGAACAACAAACAGAAACTTTACTTGTCTCAGTATATCCAAAGCTTCCAAACAGGGAGTCTAGAGACGTATCGAGAGTCTCAGCGGACATGGATCCAGGACAAGAGCCCTCGTGTGGAGAACATATTCGGCTTTGTGGAACCGTACAGAGACCCTTTTGGCATTCGAGCGGAATTCGAAGGCCTTGTGGGTATTACAGATCTTGAGGAAACAATATCATTGATGAAGCTTGTTGAACATTCCGCCACATTCATTCGACGACTGCCCTGGGCAAGAGGGGCGGACAACGACGGGAAAGGGCCATTTGAGAAAACACTTTTTGAGCCTCCGGACTTCACAAGTATCCATGGTAAAGTGCAGAAGCTCACGTCGGGCCTTATCTAACCTTTGCGCAGCTCTAGCATACTGTTCAAGTATCATATTTCCTGGGATTAATTTGCCAAATGTAAGATGACAACTCATCGCATTTCCTATTTATGTTAAAGGTGACCAGTACAATGACATCCGCGAACAATGCGGCTTCAAAAACGTCATAATCGCGAACCGAATGAGCGCCGAAAGCAGCAAAACCCAACCCTGTCCGTTCATCCATGTCTTAGAATTAGAATCTTTCCAAAGGAACAAATACCCTGCCTACTATTGGTGGGTTGTTCTTCACGAACTGTTAGGCCATGGCACTGGAAAGATGATGGTCGAGGAGTCCGTTGGCAAGTTCAACTTCGACAGGGACAATCCGCCTATAGACCCCCTCACCGGGAAGCCAATAGTGTCCTGGTACAAGCCGGGACAAACGTGGACGGGACAATTCGGAGATTTAGCGACGACTGTTGATGAATGTAGAGCTGAGCTTGTTGGTGCTTATTTGATGGATGACACCGAGCTACTAGGGTTGTTTGGGTACAATGAGGGCTCAGAAATCACTGCTGATGATCGTATGTTATTCTACCAAGGTGTTTTCAGCTTGCCTAAAAGGCTACAGTCACGTACAACCTCTATCAACAACTCGGCGTCGATGGCCTCCGTGGTTTAGCTGACTTTAACGTCGAAAACAAGGTTGGTGTCAAGTTTCGGTCTGCGAGGCGTCAACGCTGACCTCTACAACGCCAGAAATGGGGACAGGCCCACAGTAGGGCAAGATACCCTTCATAACCCTTACATTCCGAGATCTAACTGTCATAGGCTCATTTTTCCATCCTAAAGTGCCTCCTAGCCGATGGTAGAGGTTGCGTAACAGTTCAGTGCGACTCACAAACGGATCAACTCATTGTTCAGGTGGACCGTTCAAAGATTAAATCTCATGGGAAACCTGCTCTTGGCCAGATGCTGCTCAGATTGCATATGTATCGCTGCACTGCCGACGCTCAGTCATGCCGCGATTATTACGAAGAGCTTTCTCGGGTACACGACCAGTATCTAGTGTGGAGAGATATAGTTCTTGCGAAGAAACAGCCGAAATGGGTTTTCGTCCAAGCCAATACCTTCCTTCGTGGAGAGGAAGTTATTTTGAAGGAGTACGAACCAACACCAAGAGGCGTGATTCAGAGCTGGGCGGAACGAAAGGTGTAAGGTCTCATAGACCTTTTGCTTGAAGACCGATCTGAATAATCTGAAGTACAACTTGGATGAAGGCGAGTGTTATCCCTAGCCCTCCGATAATGAGTACTGCCCAGAATGTAAACCAATTCGCTGAATTTCTCTTATCGTTCCAAATTTCTTTCCAAGTACGAGGTCGTTTGGTGGAGAGAAACCTCGCCAATATCGCTATCCTACTCCTGTGAATAGGGAAGTCTGAGGCTAGGATGTACCTATCCTTTTCGCTGGGCCGATTGGGAGCATGAGAGCTGCTCTTGGTACAAATGTCCAACAGACTATTGTCTCGACCTTCTTCAGGCAGCCCTTCGAATGGTTGCGGCTTTAGCGTGCGAAAAAGCTTCCGAGATGCTTTGTTCTGCCCGAAAAGGAGACGATATGTCGCCAAAATTTCCCCGAGTAGATGATCTACATCTTCGGATGTCGCCCAATGTAAGCTATCGGCGGTAGGAGGAGCTGCACAAGAGTGAATTGTTGTCTTCAACACTCGTTGTTCCTGGCTAAGACAATGAATTCCGCAGAACGACGGATATCGAAAGAGATAGAGGGTGTTCGAACGCTCATTGAACTCCAGGTGACACGCAAGGCTGTCTGTCCAATTGATACTGATGCGGCCCACCGTAACGAGTAAATGGGCATTGAATGAAGCTGATTCAATGCTATATAGCTCCGTTAGAATCTTCCTATCCTCTTCCGAGTTTAGAGCACTAAAATTTCGGCATGGCAACATCACGCCAAATCCCAAGAGGAACTCATGCAAAGTTTTCCTCGATGCCGTTCGGCTTTGCTGTAATGATAGGTGTGCTTGACCTCTATGTTCATTGGTCTCATCAGCAATCGCTAGTTGATTGGTAGGGCATGAGCCTGTATCTGGCCGATATAGCATAGTCTGCCATCCAATTATTGCAAAAATTAGGTCTTTTGCATTGCGTGAATCTGTGTCGTCCTTAAGCCTTAACAAGTCCAGTGCGAGGAGGTTGGCAATGATCGTGTCGATGCTTGAATCCGGCTTCACAGCTTCGATCCATACGCCTCGCCACACGGCATTGAATATAGCTATCCAGGAATTATTCCCTTCAGTTTGAGCCTCTGATAAGACCGAATATATGTCCTCAGGCTGCTTCTCGATCTCCTGCCGAACCCACCAGTTGTACCATGAAACGTGCTCGGGTATTTCTGTAACAGCATCATCGAGTAACACAGTTGGCAGGATCGATGCAGTTTCAGGACTTCGAGAAGTTGAGCCTAATACCTGTGGTTAGAGCCAGCTGGGCTAAGGCGTCAACATCCAATACATACATGCAGAAAGATCTCCCCAACTCCGAATTTTTTCTGGGGAGCCGCGGCACGACAGCGTTCTTGAGTGGGAACTACTTGAGCCGCGTGTGTGGCCCTTTTCTGACGGTCCCGACATCTGGATAGGAAAAGATGTTGAACTATCTCGAAATTAGGAGAACGCTAGGTTGAGATTTCTAAGGAATAGTGGCATCTCCCACGGTGACTGAGGAAGCTTAGCTCTTAAGGTATTCAGCATAGGACAAGATAACGGACAGGTGAAACAGGAGTAGTTCTAGCCAGGGTTGAAATGAGGCGGTGGTGACTTTGTATTTGTCTTATAGGCGCGAAAAGCTCGAACAGAACGTCAAATGCCTATCAGGAGTATCGCCCAAGCTGTGAAACTGTTTCACTGCTTTTATCGGTTCTATATCTGACACATGAAAGCATCCCAAGGCTTAGTTCGATCAGAACGGGATTAAGCGCCCACAAACATCGCCTGGGCGACTCACTACACAGTGGCCGGCAGCTACCTTGGTGAACTGGTGGAACCGCTACGCGCCCGCACCCTTGCCCAACTCGGCTTACCATATCTTGGCACCTGACGCCCAGCCTCGCCTGGCGCACGGATTTGGCCCAGCATCGTCACACAGAAATGAAGCTCTAGAGCTTAATATAATTAGAATTATTACAAGATTTTGTAGAGTAGGCAATAGAGTATAGAAAATAAAATTACATTATTATCTAGTTGTAATACCTTATAGAAAGGGTAATCTTCTGCCCTTAATAATTTATTAGCTAAGGCTTTATAATAAGCTCTATAATTAATTCTTTTTACTCTTTTTATTCTAAGGACTAAGAGAATGTTAGTTCCTTTTTTTTTTAGCTTATTTTACATATTAGATGTTCTTTTAAAGCTACACAGCTGCTAATTTATCTTACTTGTTGTTATCCTTCTTCTACTACTTCTAAGCTTGCTCTTAAAGTTAGATCTCTTTTATAGTAGCCTTTATATAATTTTTTTTCTTTAAAACCTACTGCTTCTCTGCTTTCTTTAAAGCTTTATACTTTACTTTATTTTACTTTTAAAGTTTTTTTTAAGCTTAATAATCTCTTGCTTACTATACCTTATTTAGGCTTTAAAAAATTACTCTACTATTAAAATTAAAAAGTAGTTTAAGTTAAAAAGCTTTACTTTTTTACTAGTGCTTTTTCTTATTAACTAGAGCTTTTTTAAGGCCCTAAACCTTAGGTTTTAGCAGTATATTTTAAGTAAAGAGTAAGTAGATTATTTAAGAAAGCTAGTAAGCTTTAAAGTTATAAATATTATTAACTACTTATTAAAAAAGCCTTTTAATTTAGCTTTAATATTTAGCTGTCTCTACTAACTTTAAGCTTTTACTAGAGAAAGGTTTTTTAGCCTTAGTGTTTAAAAATTAATCTAAGATAACTTTAAGTTTAAAAAGGTAAAAGCTATAGCTTTTAAAAACTAAGAGAATTATTTTTAGCCTAAAAGATTACTTCTATGTAGTGTTAAATATGTAAAAGATTTTTTTTAAAATAGTAAAAATAGCTTAAGATTTTTCTATAAACTTTACTACTTTCTTTATATAAGCTAACATAAGAGGCCTAAACATGTAGACATTAAAAGGCTAAAGCATATAAGTAGAATAAAGTAGATAGATAGCTAGAAAGATTTTATAGTTATTATAGTATTAAATAAACTTTATAGTTACATAAGATCTATAGCTATTAAGTATTAAAAGTTAATATTATTTTTATGCTTTTACTATAGTTTTTTTATTAAGAATTATTTTAAGCTATTAAAGCTTAAAGATATTATTTATCTATTTACTAAGTAATAAGGTAAAGAAGGCTTTATAAATAGCAAAATTAAAGTCCTAGAGCTAGTTATCTTAAATGTTACATAATATAGCTTAGTAGATAAGGTTAGGGGAGAGAGACAATTTATTTGCGTATATACACACTATAGTTATAATCTACTTATAATTGCTATCTTAAATAATCTGCTTAATCCCCCCTTTCTTATATATCTAGCAGGAAAAGACGCACTTTACTTTTAATAGTAACGTACTTTACAGGCAAGTTGCTTACACACTTAAGTTGCTTACTTTTACTAAGACCCTACTAAACTACTTTTTTTATACTAATGCATTTCTAACAACACTACTTAGATGTGCTAAAAGAATATACTTAAGCTATATGCGTAAAGATTTTTCTTTTAAATAGTATTTATAGCTAATATAGCTAATTCTTTACGCGCTAAGTATAATCTAGGCTATATTAACATAAACTAGCCTAGTATGTTTATAAAGTGTTATTTAAAGCTTAAAGTAAAGTTTTAAGTGTAAGTATAGTTAATAAATATTTAGCTTATAATAAAGCCTATTTTACTAAAGTTATATGTATTATTATTCTAGATACTATACTTAGCTTTAATATTCTTTATAAAGCTAAACCTGCTTTAAATTACTCTAGAACTCTTATAAAAAGCTCTTTTATAGTTATACTATGCTTAAACATTACTTTAAGCTCTAGATAACACTTTTTAAACATACTAAGCTAGTTTATGCTAACATAGCCTAGATTATGCTTAGCGTGTAAAGAATTAGCTATATTAGCTATAAATGCTAACTATTAGAAATACATTAGTGTAAAAAAAGTAGTTTAGTAGGGTCTTAGTAAAAGTAAGCAACTTAGGTGTGTAAGCAACTTGCCTGTAAAGTACGTTACTTTAACTAGGAAGCTCTTCTTATCTATATTATACATATCTTCTAGCTATACATTATACTGCTTAATCTTACGCTTTAAAGGCTTAAAATATAATGTGTATTTAAATGCTAAATTAGCTCTTTTTTATTTTATTTATACTAGTAGTTTACTTTAATACAAGCTTAATATTATAACACTTAATAAACTAATTAGCCTAAGCTTTTCTTACTGTTCCTCTATTTATTTTACTAGTAAAATTACATAGTATGTTTCTTATAAAAAGTATACCTTACTTATAGAGTTTGTTAATGTATTTTATAAGCTCCTGCTTTTGCTAGTTATTTAAAAGTTGCTAATTCTTATATTACTCTACATAGAAGCTCTAGACCTTGCAATACCTTTGCAACAGTGTTAATTAATTAACACTATATTTTCTTACTGTCTTTTCTAGATTAACTTTTTTGCTAGGCTTTAAGGATTTTAATAATACAATTGCTCTTAAAATCAGATCTATATTAGTGGAGTTAGTATTATGTGGCAATTTTAAAGTTCCCGGCAAAAGTGTGCGTCTGTCAGATATGCGCACCTACTGTCAAGACAGGAGGAACGTTTGACGAAAGCTGCTACATAGTACGAGCAATAAGCTCGAACAGTATGTTGCCGCAAATTGCAGCATTTTGCAGCATTTTGCAGCATGTTGCAGCAAATTGCAGCATGTTACAGCATTTTGCAGCAAATTGCAGCATGTTGCAAGCTGGTCGCGCATAGGGCTAGTGCGCGAGGGACTCGGATCGGAAAAACAAAAGCCGAGCAACACGAGTAGAGCAGAAAAAGGATCGATAGATCAACACAATCAATCAATCATCCCATACATCATATCCAAACCCATCATTCATCTCAGGAAGCCCAGAAACAGTGCTTCAATCTGACAGCGTCAGGTGAGGCTGGGCGTCAGGTGCCAAGATACGGTAGCGGTACGATAAGCGAATGGCCAAGTGGGACACGCCGTAACCTCCTAGGCATTTGCTGTGCCGCTTTCTTTCAGTTTCGTGTCATTTCAGAGGTCTCACCCTCCCGCAAGATTTTTGCGTATATTTGGATCTCGTTTAACCTTAGCGATGAGTAGGAACAATAGCGAGTACGGTTTGTTGTATCCGGATAGCGTAGCATCTTCTCTAACAAAGCTACACAAGAGAGAAGCCTCCCCGGAGTCCACTGTGGCACCGAGCAATCGATCGATACAGGGAAGAGCTCGACGAAAACGACGATTACCAGTCAATTACAGAGATAGGATCCCTTGAGGAGCTTCTTGACTCCACAAAATCAATTGAACCCTTGCTCCCGAGCGAGCGAAATGCTCTCAGCTCTATGCAACGCATTGGGCCGACTTTGAAGTTTGTAGATGACTTCTCAGCTGTTATTGCTGTTTGTTTTGGAGCTGATCCAAAACTCACAGCCTTCGTATGGGGGAGCATTCGACTGGTGCTAAGTCTAGCTTCTTCGGCGGGAGATACTCTCAAGGATGTTCTAGAAATGTTGGAGGACCTCAGCCTTACACTGCCTCGATTCAGGGCGTATGAAACTAACCTCCCCATGGACCGGGCCCTCGAAGCTGCGCTGGTCGATGTATACACGGAAGTGATATGTTTCTACGCACGCTGTATCCGCTTCTTTCGCACCCACCCTCATGTTCTGTTGCGACGCAATGCGTGGCAAGATTTTCGCAACGACTTTTCTCGGACAGTCCGCCGAATCCGTCGCCTTTCTGCTACGGTCGAAAGAGAGGCTGAATCTGCACGTATGATGCATTTAAATGACCGGGGGAAATATGATGATGTCCTTAGTCTCATGGAGACATTAAAGGAGGCCAAGATCAGACAAGTTGAGGCAGCCCAATACTACTACATACCCTCTGAGGCTAGCCCTAGATTTTGGGGGCGGGAAGACGCTTTGGAGGCTATCCAAGATGCCCTAAAACCTGATGAGAAGCCATTCCTCCTGAAGACGTTCGCTCTATATGGTATGGGTGGAGTGGGAAAGACACAGATTGCCTTGCAATATGCACTCCGTAACCGCGACTGTTATCAAGCTATCCTGTGGGTTACAGCCGACAATGCCATCAACATGGGACAAAGCTTTCGAGAAATCGCAAAACTTCTTGGACTGATCGAGACTGAGGAAGAACTGCAGGATACCGTCGGTGCGACACGAAAGGTCAAGAACTGGCTGACGGATACAAGTAAGTAGAATCTATCTGCCTCCGACATAGAAAAGGGAACCTCAATTCAACCCCATTGGAGTTATATCACACCACAAAGCACAATCCGGCACTCTAGTTAACTCTCTATGCTAGACTGTCCTTGGCTTGTAATCTTTGACAACGCAGACGACTTAGAAGTGCTCCGTCATGTCTGGCCCGCGAACGGTCAAGGATCCATACTTCTTACGACACGAAACGCCAGCGCAACTCACAGCCCTGCTTGTGCGGGCATGCAGGTCCAACCGTTTGACGATGCAGATGGATCCCAAGTCCTGCTCAAACTGGTAGGACTCGATGTTAGTCTACCCGAAAACCAAAAACTAGCAGCCCCCATCGCTAGAGTGCTTGGAGGTTTACCTCTAGCTCTCAACCAGATCGGCGGATTCATCGTCCAAAGGAAATTGCCCCTTCAAGACTTCCTCCCCTTGTATGAGCGCAATTCAGCGAAGATCGATGCGCGGAAGATGGGAATTGGCGACCGTGAGCACACCTTGAGCACCGTATGGAATATGTCCATGAGCAAGGCGTCTGGGGATTCCCGCATGCTCCTGAATATTTTGCCGTATTTTCAACCAGACGAGATCGATGAAGCCATATTCCACCAGGGGGCAAGGTTGCTCAATGATGTCGAGTTTAACTTTTTGGGGGATAAAATGGAGTATGCATCGCATCACTGACTAGTAATATTGCCAAAAGCTAACTTTTGACTCAGTTTAGGAGATGCCGAAGAGGTCCTGCTGAAAACAGGTCTAATTGATAAGAATCCAACGAACGCCGTTCTGCGCATCCACCGGCTTATCCAAGCAGCCACCGTCCGTACCCAGAACGACACAGATCGAGAAAGGTACTTCAATGCAGTTGTGTGCATACTGAGCTGGGGCTTTCCTGACACTTGGAGTGAAGACGTTGGTCATCAATTCCAAGCATGGGCAAACTGCGAAAAGTGTCTACCGCACGTCCGACATCTAGTTGCTACGCGAGAGAAATACAAAATAGATATTAGCGACTCCCAGAGTTATGGCGAATTGCTTTTGCGATGTAGCTGGTAAGTAGCCCAACCCTTGGCTGAAGCCCACTTAAATATGCTAGGTATATGTACGAACGTGAATGCTATGACATCGCCAATTCCATGATACAAGCGGCTCTCGACACCTTCAAAGACAGGACCACCCTTGCATTTGCTAGCGCAATCGACCTCTCCGGTCTCATTAATCTCGACATAAGCCACCCAAACAAAGCACTAGCTCCATTTAGAGAAGCGCTCGAAGTGCGAAAACAACGACTTGGATCAACAGACCCCCTAATCGCATCTAGTCTGAATAACATCGCACTCGCCTACACAGAGCTCGTTGACCTCGACAAAGCCTACGCCACTCATTCTGAAGCCATTACCATCCGGCTTAATGCGCAGAGCGATCGAATCGGGAATTCATACAGCAATATGTCGAGCTTACTGCTCCGGATGAAGAAACCCGATGATGCAGAGGAAATTCTCAAGCGCTGTCCCTCGCTGCAAGATTTCACCGACGAGACATTTTTGAAAACAAGAAACCCGCGCTTCTCGGGAGACATGGTGCTGCTTTCTCGGATTCGCGTTCAGCAAGGGAGGCTGGATGAGGCGTTTCGGCTGGCATCGAAGGCGCTGGCGTTCCGGCAGCGCATGTGTGGGAATCGGCTTAAGACGTGCGATTCTTTGTATGATGTGGCAGGGTTGATGCATAGGCAGGGGAGTTCGGCTTCGGCTATGTAAGTGTGATTCTCCTAGCATGAGCAGCTGGGAATAGGTTCCATTTCACTAGCTAACAATGTGATAGAGGACTGCTAGGCCAGCTTGTAGATATTTCGAGTTCGATCCCTGAAGGCCAGGGCCAGCTTGCTCGGGCTTACTTCAAGCTCGCCGTGATTCACAAAGAAAGAGACAGGAGTGAGCAAAGCCGCACTTACAGGCAGAAAGCGGAAGCAATACGAGCAGATATACGACCAGATCTTTGCAATGCTCCGTTTGACGAGACCGAGTTCATGAAACTATGTCTTTGGATGTTATGGTAATACGATGAGGTCTGGATACCCTCAAAAGATGGCGTTATGGATTCAAGCAAGTCATCATCGATGGGAGTTGTTGCAGAGAAGCCCAATACGCTAGATAAATACGGTCTCGGCTGTTCGTTCGATGGATAAGAGGTCGAGAGGATCGGAAGAGCCATTGCATAGCCACTAACCCTCCCTAATGTCCCTAATGTCCCTAATGTCCCTAATTCTATAGATAATTGTATAGGAGTGGAAAAAATCGGGAGATTTTATCTAGGACGCCTTTTGATGCGAGGTGCGCAGCTTCTAGGGAGCCGAGAGTTCCATATGTGCGCCAAGGCTTGTAGGCACATTTATTATCCTGCGCGATGTATAATGGACAATACTAGCTATAGACAGCCCAGTCCGCTTTGTACGCAAGGATTTTGATTTCATGCCGCGCGCGGGCTCATTCCAGTCGCATTTTAGAACCTGAGAATTACCAATAACCGGGCCCCAGCTTGCGGCTCCCATTGGAAGTTCTTTCCTGCTACTACGCGTTCTCAACGCCCTTCCATCACATGTGCAGTCAGCCTTTGAGAGCGGCTACGACTGCCGTCAGTATCAATACCTACGACAAGAATGGCGAGACACCTATCCACCACGTAGTCGCAGCCAACATTGCGGAACTTGTGCGATTGCTCCTCGCAAAAGGCGCCAACTCGTCTCAGCGCCCCAAGGCCGAACAATCCAGACCAGACAACACCGCCATAGAGGGTGCGGCGATATTTAACCAAACGAGTGCATTCAAGCCCCTCCTCAACAGTGGCACACCCGTCTCAAGCGGTGCTTTAGAGGCTTTTACCTCGCAAGGAAACCTAGACGCTGTTACAATCTTTCTAAACAGCAGCGTAGGCGACCTCTAGCGACAAGAGGCAGTTACAAAAGCTCTACAGACGATGCGCGATCAGTCAATAATCACGCTAGTGCGATTCAATGGTACCAAAAATTCGTTCCCTACACAAACTTGGTACTTACACCGATTCCAGATACACCTTTACCGACCCCTCCGTTATCGTCTTATTGTGGTGGAAAAAATTATGCCTAAAATCGGCTTCTCGAATACCCAAGGGCGGCATCTACTCTAACACTACTTCTCTCGGAACCCTCGCCCACTCCAGAGAGAGCGTATTGAGTGGTTCAAGCAAGAGTACGACCAGAAACTTAGCCAATCCACTACTTCTGATGGCAACTGCAAATTAAAAGGAGCAGAGCCTTTGCTTAGGGTGAGCTACTGATGGAAAAATTTGTCGAAATATAGTCTAAGGTCCCTGAGTATGCTGGACAGAACCCCCTAGGTCCTCGCCTCCCTGGGTAGGCATGTTTAAGAAATAATATAGCTTGAAAGGGCACACAGGGCTATGGCGAGGTTAGCTTAGAACCAGACTTGTCAACAAGCAAGTCAAGTTTATTGTCAGGGAGTAGCGCTATGCTTATTTAAGACGCGTTAAGCCTATACAAGAAGGTTACTAACCCAAGTAGATAATCAATCAAGTCAAGTTGGACTTTGAAAAACGCCACAAACTTGCTTGTTGACAAGTCTGCTTAGTACCCGGCAGCGCTTACCCTGAGATGGATCTACTACACACCATCCGTTGTCCATTTTTCGCTCCGTACATCTACAATATGGACGACACTAGGCTCTACCGGCGCTGAGCGATCTACAAAGGGGTTGCTGCTACCTCTCTACTAGGCGCCAAGAATGACAAAGCCTATGTCTTAATGGCGTTGGTAGCAACGGCACGGGCACTGGCAAGCTTCCCCTGTAAGTTATTGGAAAGTCAAAGATGCCCTATGCCCCTTCGTAAGGTCAATATTAATACCCTGGAACTCCAAAAGAGGGAATTCGCCAAGGTCTGAATGACTGCTGATATCATGGCAGACTGGCTGGGGGCATTTTATGAGCATGTTAGCGAGCTGGAAATAACATTACTGATAGATATTTTTAGACCTTACATTGCCGCGTATTACCTTGCACCTCTACCCTCTAATTTACGCCCTGAGTTCTTACTGAAGAACAGCACCCTGGATACCAGCATATGTTATCAGGGGTGATCAAAATTTCAATCACTGCTATAGGGAGCTTTGGCTACGCTTCTTAATCGATTGCTATGAGAAGGAGTAGGGTCCAGTTAAAAAGTGACCTTAGACGTCGCTCTTCAATAGGCATCCTAACCTTGGTGAGATCGGGTTTCTGCGGGTACTATTCACCACTGCTCGTCAGAGCCAACTCTTGTCGACCGAAATGACCCGCTGGATGTGATTCCAGAATCGATCGATCTCATAGAGCTGCTTCAGTTATGCCAAAAAGTCTCGAAAGTCGCTGACGATACTGGAGAACCCAAGGTTTTCATACATCCTGAAGGCGAGGACGACGAGCCCGAGGAGCCTGTGGATCTACAGGAGATAATCGACTACCATGAGGGCAATACAGGTATTGAAGTGGACCCACTGGAAGTTGATGAGCCTCCTCCATCGCCAACTCATGCTATGAAGGCTCTATTCACTGCCCACTACTGGGTGGAGCACAAGGACGACCCGACAATCGATGATACAACTCCCTGAAATTGCAACCGAAGTTTCCGATGCCCTCCTCGCAGTTGTTAAAGCAGGCGGCAGCGTTAATGTAGATCTGACAGAAGTTGCCGGACTTCCCTGCGGAATCGGTGGCCTTGTGCTATTTGAAGGCGGCGGCGTCTTGTTCTAATTGCGAAGAGGATGCAGACGGTACGTCAATCCTGCCTTTACAGTTCGCGTTGCATGCCTCTGCTAAGACAAGTGACGGGTTAGCAGTGATGAAAAGGCTAGAGGCCGTATTTGCATTGACGAGAATGCCGCGCCGCCTCCTTTGGCGGTGTAAAACTCGCCATAGTGTTTAGTGCTGTTCGGCATCAGAGTTGACCCTGTAGGAAGCCGGACAATTGTATATAAATAGCCATCACCACTGTCTCCTTGTCTACTAACCCTTCTACTCGTATTTTTTTTAGTAAGCAGTAAAAGCACTGTCTAAGAGTGATTGATAAATGGTACTGCCCTAACTTAGTTTAGCGCCCTAGATACTGGAGCACCACTAATTAATTATTCTTTTATAGTCAACAATAGACAGATATAGTGTCCCTGTTACTATAGTAATTGCTGTACAATTATCTCTAAAGTGAACTTTATATAGCTTCTTCCACTACGCTAGAAGGCAAAGCTTTAAGCCTTACACTAGGCATGTTACAACTGTAGAGAGCAGAGCTGATCTTATAGAGAACCCCCAAGGAAACTTAGTTCGCTTGCGCAATAGTGCTCCAAGTATTGTCTAAATTAGTAATATATGTGTTCCTAGTCACGCATGTTGAGGGTGCTGGGGAGTTAAAATATCTACTACTGTTAGTAGAACTAGTCACGATTCCTGTCAGCGCACAAGCTAACAGACAGGTCAGTATGGCTATTCTAACAATATAGAAAAGTATGCACTTTTGACAACATAGTTGTACTGCACTTTCTATAGGCTTGTGTTGTATACTCTACATAGACTTAATTATATTACTGTAAGCTTTGTCCCACAGCGCGTTAAATAAAGCTACTCCTTTAGTGTTTAACTAATGTCATCTACCCAAGCCTACTCGTTAATAAGATCTAGTAATATAAGTAATAAGCAACTTTAGCTATAATAACAAGGCTTTAGTGACTGTGAAAGAATCCTTCTAGATGTTGCGTCTTAAACTTAAGTCTTATTCTAGCCTTTCTAGATCCTGATAATTAATATTAAAACAAGATAGCATAGAAACAGCTCTAGAGTAGATGTGCGAGCCACTAAGACTTGTTTATGGAAAGTCCCTAGCGCAGTCACGAGTAAGGTAGAGGAAGTGTGAAGGATTGTAAGATTAAGGGAACCCCTATAAGAAGTTTCAAGAAGACCTAAACGTAGAGGGTTACAACGATATAGCTAGTGACAACAGAAATGCATGAAGAATTTGCTCCAGGCTAGGAATTTCCTCATCTATTTGAAAGGATTTCGTTGTAAAGATCGCTGTAAGAAGGAGCGAAGAAGGCAATCAAGACTATTGGTCTGTGCTGACCTCGACGGACCTGGTCGAGGAGGATTTTGGCAAGGACAGCAGTGGCAGCAATGCCAAGAACGCAAGTTCCAAGAAATTGCTCATGAAGATCCTTGTAAGCAATACTTCGAATAGCGATGAGGGAACTACGGGCCTCGTGACGATCCTCAAAAAGCGAGCACGAAGCGAGCCTAACAACGCCCAAAGTGCCAAAAAGGGGCCAACAAAGCTCAAGTAAATGATGCGTGCACTGACGGAGTCTAGCTCGGGGACCTGCCTTATAGCGTGCTCTTACCGGAATCTTGACATCATAGAAAGAGGTGTTAGAGTGCATGTTAGGAGAGCAGTGTTGGGAACTGTTAGAGGATATAAAACGATAGGGGAAAGGCTGTTACTAAACTTTCCGGTCCAAAAAGATCTCAGGTAGCTGTACAACAGGCTTAGACCTTAAAACAACAGTACAGAACAGTGGATTCAATCTCATATCTGAAGTTGTGTTTTGGCCAACGAACGAAGATATTGTGTTGAATATCAATAACAAAACCTCTACTAGTTAGGATATTTCTCTAGAGAGGACTAAGAAGGTAGCGTAGATGATGTCAAGAGTGGTGGGCAAGCGGCCCTGATCTCATGAACCACTCACTGAAGGTGACTGAGCCTGCCATACCACTCCGCAACTGAACAGAGCGATGAATCGTTTGTTTCATTTCATCCCTCCATCTGGGCCTGCCTAACATTCGACTGCGGGTGTTTTGGCCGTGTTTCGGACACCTCGATCCTTCTTACCCCAAATCAACTCTTTCAACTCCTTTCTGAGATTCCTTACATATAGCCCCTCTACGATATTCCTCTCCTAAATACCCCTTGTTCTTACCTCTGACCAAAGGTTATCCCAACGTCCACTATGTTCCGGAATGCCTATATCTATAACTAATTCGGAAACACATTCCCACGTTCCTGAAGCCTCCAGTATGCTACAACAGTAAATTTTACTGAGATTTGATTGTTTCATTGAACGCTTCCTGCTCTGCCCATCAATGGAGCTGGATTCTGAGACGGGTTATTTGGAGACAGACGCGAAGTGGAGTGGCGATTTATGATGTATGGCCTTTAAGCTACGGTTGCACCCCAATGCAACAACCGCCGAGAGCTCCCTACATCACGACTCAACGAGTTCGTATGGCAGGAGGGCCAGGTTGGATCTCCAGAACACCAGGACGACGAGGGAATTGAGAAGAGAAGGCGGGTGTTTAAAAAGGCGGCCCTGTAGGATCGCTGCAAAGCTGTTAGATGTGATGGGGAGAGTGAAGGCTAGGTGAGGACCTCCGTTATCAGTTCTGTGCGGAGGCTGGGTTGGTTGTTGCAGAGGCGCCTTGTGACTGTACTGGAGAAAAGACTGTTTATTATGCTGGGTCTTTCTAGTAGGTGGCAAAAAGGATCCACGAGATCCGCAGCGTTAGACGCGAAGTGCGTGGAGAAGGATGAAAGGAGGTTTAGAAGACTTTGAGGGAAGGCAGGGAATATTCTGCTTGTTTCTGTCTTATTCCTGGAAGAACACGCATTTGCTGCATCCAAGAAGTCGTTGCGAGCCATGGATAACTGCGTTTTGAGCTACCGCCACAAGTCTCTGCAGCGGCCCTAGCTAGCTGTCAAAAACCACTCTTACTCTCCCAATCATCGCATCGTGCACAATCCTCCTTACTCTCTCCACCAACGCTTGGTCAAAAAAAGCAACACCTAATTCTTGACTCGTAAACCAACTCGCGCGATCCAAATTCCCAGACCCCAGGACGAGCACTTCATCATCCACAATCATCATTTTGAGATGGCTTTGTTGAGGCTCGCCATTTTCCTGACCCCTCTTCTTCGGTCCGCCTAAAGGCGTGAAGTATGAGATGTGAAGACGTCCTAAAGGAGGTAAACCAATGGCGGCTTCTTCGTCGCTTGCAAGACAACTTGAGGTGGTTCGTGATAAATTGTTGTAGCGTTTTACAAGCTTTCTGATACATCGTTTGGTTGTCGTTCCCGCTGTCACGAGCTGCTCGAGAACCATGAGTTTCTCTGACGTAAGGATCCTGATATCAATGCCACGAGATAACGCTTTTAAAATGGCGGAGAGTATAGGTGGAGATGTTAGGTTCGGTGTTTGGATTTGGATGCTCTTCTCTGCTTTGGAGAGTAACGTTAAGACGAATACGTTGAGCGGAGTTGGGGGTGCAACGACGTTATCGGTGGTGGCGAACGGCTGAACATGTGGAGTTCTTCGGTGTGGGCTCGGCAGGAAGACGGTAGGGATGTTTGTGATTTCAGATCCATGGGCAGAGGTTAGAAATCTGGTCGTTCTGTTTGCATGCTCTTCAGCCGCTAGTGACGTTGGTGTCGCATCTTTCCATCGGGCATTTTCTACTTCGTCGAAGGCTAGGGCATCAGGAGGGGGCATCTCTCTCCGTTCCCAGAATTGGGAGTAGAATCTCACAAACTGCCCTACTGAAGGTCCAGAGAAAGTAATGCACCCTTCAAACCACTCTTCCCAGCTGATATTACAGGACGGAAGAACAACGGTGCGGCGGTCAACTATAATGAATTTCGGATGCATGACGCTAAACGGTAACAAGAAGATAGACTTCACATTAACGTCGAGTCCTGGAAGATCCGAAGGATCTGGTAGGCCAAGCTTCTTTATCCACACTGAAGGTGGGTATGTCTGGCCAGTCACAGACTGGGAGTGGAAGAGTTTCTGAAATAGGGAAAGTGACGAAAAGCAGAGACGAACGATGATTTTTCCGGAACCTCGCCGGACAGCCTTGTTGGATAATTTCCGAAGGATGTCACTGAGGATGCTGAGACTTGAGGAGCGCGCCCAGAAACAAGTTACCAGAATGAGCTCTTCAGATGTGGATTCAAGGAGAGGTGCCAATGAGAGGTAGATGGAAGACCCCGTACCGGTTTCAAACTTGTGAATTGTTGATGTACTAACGAGGGATTTTGAGTCGAGAGCGTAATAGTTTGGGTCATCCTTGATATTGTTCTTTGATGCAGAGTTGAGGGTTGAAAGAAAAGGTGCATTGAAATGTGAGATTTGAGGAGAAGATGCTCGTTTTGGCATGGCTATAGTAGACAAGGAGAGATTCCCGGGTTATCTCTTAAGATGTATTGGAATGTGTGACTGGTGTGCAATGGTGAGTGCAGGAGAGAGGCACAGAGGTTAGGGTGATGTCAACATCACGCTAGACCTGTTTAGTTCCTGTCGCCAAACCACTGTATTAGAGCTTCAAGCCCCGCAATATTTTCGGCCAAAATTCCTGAGCTCAACACCAAACCTCCACCTCTCTTACACCAATCCCCCCAGCCTCTCCCCAATTCTGGTCCACTAAATTCTCTCTGCGACTTCCCTTGTATCCTCATACCTAATCTTAAATTACTTATTCTAGCACAACGGCCCCTTCGCTGCTGGCTCCCAAATGCCCATCTCCATCCTTCCACCCTCCCTTCCCACATCTACGCACCACCTCCCCCGCAATGCCTCCTCCGACGTTGAAATGTCCGACTCTGACTCCGACCTCCCCTCCTCCACCAAAAATCTCGTAACACCTGGCGAAGCCATAACCTCCGACCCCCAATGGATGCGCGGTCACGGAACCTACATCCCTCCCACCTCCACAACAATAATCTCGACCGTCGCCGGCACCCTCCACAAAACTAACAAATTACTCTCCGTGCAACCTCTACGTGCACGGTACCAACCTGAAATTGGAGACCTGGTAATCGGCCGGATCGTCAGCGTTCAGACCAAGAAATGGATGGTCGATATCGCAGGCCCGATGTTAGCTAGCCTCCCCCTCAGCGCGATAAACCTTCCCGGAGGAATCCTACGACGACGCACTGCGGTGGATGAATTGAATATTCGGACTTTTTTCTCTGAGGGGGATTTACTAGTTGCGGAGGTGCAGGCGCTGCATGGTGACGGAAGCGCAGCGCTACATACGCGGAGTTTGAAGTATGGGAAGCTGCGGAACGGCGTGTTTACTTCGCTGTCAGGGGCTGGGGGCGGGATAATGTCGCGGAGGGGTGGCGTGGTGCGAAGTCGGCGACAGGTGTTTACGCTGCAGACGGCGGCGGGGGAGGTGGATGTCGTGTTGGGTGTGAACGGGTATATTTGGGTGTCGAAACATACACGGCCGACGGAGGGGAAGGATGTCAGTATTACAAGATTAGAGGAAACTGTTAGTGAGACGCTGTATTCAAGTCAGAATGATGAGATTGAGAAGGGGGTTATGCGCGAGATTGCGAGGGTCAGCACGCTGGTTAAAGGGCTGGCGCTTTGTGGGGAGAGAGTTGATGAGGATATGATTGTTAGGGTGTACGAGCAAGTCGTAGAGATGGAGGCTGAGGAACAGAGTATGGGGGATGTTATGGGTGTGGAGAAGAAGATTGGAGCGAAGGGCATTGTGGAGAATGTATTGTTGCGGTTGGAGAGTGGTGGGTGAACGGTGAATACAGTAGGGAACCGAGTTATGATACCCAATGTTCGATAATATTGATGGCATGGAATGGGATACTGTTTGCAGTAACGGAGCTCTCCATGCTCTAGTCACCTACACTCCTTTGACCCACTGCTGCCTAGCTACCCCACATGCTACGGCCCAGAGCTATTGCTGGCCCTAGGTCACATGACGGTTCACCTAGAACTATATAAACTCGTCGTTACCCTCCTTTAGCAATCAATCCAGTTCCTCATGCATCTGGTGCTCCTCCTAGCTTCACAGTTATGAGCCCGGCAATCGCTTGCTAGTCAATCGAGATGTTTTCAATCTATACCAGGGAGAGCTCTTTTGACGCTCTGCGCACCATATTGTGACCTCTTTGTCACCACCAAGACAAACTCGTCCACCGCAAGGACTAATCAGTCCACCAATTGCAATGAACTACTGCTATCCATAGACATAGGGGTCACAACCTTCGACCAATCACGTCATCAACATGACAGATTCTACTGATCTGCTAGTTTCAAAGACTACAGTTATTCTCAATACAACTAACGACTGGGGCAAATGGATTTACCCTCAGACAAATAGCTGTTGCGCAGTTGATTTCTGGAGGCAAATTCATTTGCCCCAGTCGTTAGTTGTATTGAGAATAACTATAGTCTTTGAGACTAGTAGATCAGTAAAATCTGTCATGTTGATGACGTGATTAGTCGAAGGTTGTGACACCTATGTCTATGGATAGCAGTAGACTACAATTAGATAGACTAATTAGTCCTTGCGGTGGATGAGTTTGTCCTTACAGTGGACGAGTTTATCCTTGCAGTAGACGGTTTTGTCCTTGTGGTGGACGAGTTTGTCTTTATGGTGACAAAGAGGTCACAATATGGTGCGCAGAGCGTCAAAAGAGCTCTCCCTGGTATAGGTTGAAAACAGCTCGATTGACTAGCAAGCGATTGCCGGGCTCAGGACTGTGAAGCTAGGAGGAGCACCAGATGCATGAGGAACCGGATTGATTGCTAAAGGAGGGCAACTACGGGTTTATATAGTACTAAGTGAACCCGTTATGTGACTTAAGGCCAGCAATAGCTCTGGGCCGCAGCATGTGGCATAGCTAGGCAGCAGTGGGTCAAAGGAGTGTAGGTGACTAGAGCATGGAGAGCTCCGTTACTGCAAACAGATACGCATGAAGCAGCGGATCTCGTCCATCTATAACGTCGAGCTGAAGCTAGCGTCTCCAATATGCGGAAGACGAGGCTAGATCTGGACAGCTTACGGAGCTCCCGAGACGAGTTCCAAGCCATAGACTGGCTAGATGTCACATATAAAGATGGCGGTCGCAATATCACATGACTAAGCACCGATCTTTTAAACCTGTGGACGATGTTTTGCTATGTACCTATCGTACTATAGACTCATTACATCCCCGAAAAGATGCAGAACCTAGTACAACACCCAGCAGCCTGGTGCACACTTTCTCCTATCAATTACCTGACCAAGGAACCCCACAACGCCAAAGATAAGATCTAGACCAAAGAAAACTGAGCCGGAATCAGTATAAGAACTTGCTACTCACCATCTACCACACCTATATTCTACTTCTCATCATCTACTCTCCAATATACACAGAGGTAAAGGAGGTAGTAAGCGCATCAACACAACCCAGGCAACTCAACCTAACGGGACCACACACAATTACGCATAGCCATCAGGGAGTCATACTAGAACTAGATCCAAGGACTCAAAACCTAACAAATCCCACCCTCCCCATCCCCATCCCCATCCCCATCCCCCATCCCCACGTCCAAACACAACAGCCCCTCCCTCTCCAACCGTCCCAAATCACCCCCAGCCTCAATCACCGCTTTCACAGCCGCCTGACTAAACTTGCGTCTCTTCTCTGCAGCTTCTTTCTCGCGTCTAGCTTTAGTCTTACTGCTTCCGCTCGGTGCAACACCTGTTAAGATCTTCTGGCTATCTGAGGGCGTGAAGTTTACAAAGCCGACGGTGGAGAGTTTGGTTTGAGAGGAGGGGTTGTGGGTGGAAGAGGAGTTGGAGGATTTCCGGCGGTGGGATTGGGGTTGCGAGAAGGAGTTAGAATGGGACTGGGTATGAGAAGCTTGCCGGTGGTGGTAGGTTGAAGCGCGGGTGCGCGTGAAGTGGGGTTGGGGCTGGGAGGGAGATGTGGGGGATGGGGTGCGAGATTGGGGCGTTGTTTGGGGGAGAGTATTTGAAAGGCCGTGAAAGATGAGTGGGGGTGATGGGGGGTATATGGGGGTGTAGCCTTGCATGTGTGCGTGTGTGTTTGTTTCGAATGACGAGGCTGAGGCTGAAACTGAGAAGCTACCATTGCCGTTCGCGGACTGACTATGTCCATTCACAGCATCCGCGTCATCGCTGAAGGTAAAAGATGCTGTGTCGCAGGTAATACCCAGCCCAACGGCCGATGCCGTACTAAATGCATTCTGGTTCTGCGCACACGAATGTTGTTGCGAAGCATGATAACCCGCATCAACGGAGCCAGGCTGAGCAGGCTCATTACTCCACCACGTCTTTCCGGGATTCGGCGTATGGAATTCTGGCGAGCCTGGGAACGAGAGATTTAGATTGACTGGCGTATCGGGACCCCACGTTGCGACGAGGCGGTGAGACGGCGGGGTATGTAAGGCTGAAAGAGCCTCGTTGCTCATCTGGCGATTGTGCGAAATGTACCCTGTTGCCATATTTTCGTTAGATTCGGAGAACTGGAAAGGATTCCCGGCGCTGTTTTGGCAGGAACTGGTGTCAATGGCAGGGGAGGATAGAGGCGTTAGCTGGTAGTTGGGGTTGTGCAGCGAGGTTGTGTCCGAGGTTGGGAGCGATGACATGGCAGCCATGTAAGGCCGGTCTCGTGGGTAGAATCCACTTCCATTCCTGTTCTGCTCGGGTTTTGTAGACAGTGGTGGCGAGCTGGGGAGAACATTGGGTGGGAGTCGTAGATTGAAGCTCTCGGATGGACCTTCAAGCTTTCGGGTCCAGATATCCTGGACGCCAGTACGATAGTGTGACGGTTGCATCATACTCATCGGAAAATTCGGCTTCCTCCTTAATTTGTGAACACCGTATCGGACTGATTGATCTGGAGTTGGCGTAGCCTTCTGCGCTGGCCTTGCGAATTGTGGTTTCGGAGAAGGCGGGGTTGAAAGTGAGAGTCGTCTTTCAAAGCTATCCAATTCGAAAGAATCATCAAACTTGAACAGTCCAGGATCGCTCACAGAAGCCTTTCCGCGAGATTCAGGGTAGATGGAGAAGGAAACGTCTGGCATGATGGGCGAGGCTGGGTTTTCTTTGAAGTCCCACGGAGCCTTGTGCCAAGCTTCCGGAAAGCCACGATCCCAATCGGGCAGATTTGAGTCCTCGGTCAGGAAGCTGTCATTTGACGAAGGGAGCTCAAAGAGATGCGCCAAATTGTCTGGGCTAGATGGTTCCATTGCGTTGTCGCTGAATTTCTGGAGAAGGTCTGTCTCGACATGGTCTTCAAAGAGCTGATCTAGGTCGACCTTAGGGTCTTTGTCGATAATCGGCCGCATCGGGAAGTCTGAAGTGGTGTCGTAGTAAAGATGTCACGAATGATGTCTTTCACGTGTGTTGTGTCGGGTCGGTATTGACCGGGTCGCTGGGAAAGAGGGCGAGCAAATCGTCGCGGCAAGGAAGGGAAAAGATGTGAGAATTCAAAGCAAGCGTGCCTTGCAGATGAGCTGCAGGAGGCAAATATGAAACGGTGCGTAATGATGCAGGAACAAACGCGGAAAACGCGTGAATGGGCAAACCTATACTCGATATATACCTGGGGGGTCGTGCCGAACGATTCCTTTCCAGCCTTAACTTTCTTTGCGGTATGCTTGGTGATGCTAGGTCATAAATCTAGCAAGAAACGAGGAATGAATGTTGACGTAAGTTTTCCGTCTCGTGATGGGACTGGTTTGACACCCATGAAAAGGGTGCCAACAGGACAAACAGTCAGACAGTGAAGGGGGTTGGGCATTCCGCTGCTGACTGTGGCAAGACGAGGGCGGCAGACATGACGCAAACAGCCATATATGATTTTCCCAGCCCACCACGTTACATTCCGGAGCCAACCCCATTGCCTGAGCATAGGAGGCAGTGCCGGAACAATCACTTTGTTTGAGTGAGACTTTGTCGATCAATCGTTTCTTTGATAACACTAGGATGTCATGCGGCGATGCAGAAGTGTGAAGGCCTCCGGAAGTCCGATAGAGCTCGAAGTGTTTTCTAGGACAGGCCTATCAAAACCTCCAGAACAAGTGTCACCCTCATTAGAGACCCTCCACTCGACTCGAGATCTGGGTGGCACTCCCAATCCTCGGTAGTCGAAAACCTGCCATCTCGTTTACCTGTTTGTTCTGAATAGAGGGGCTTGCGATCCGCAAACAGTTTGCATTCCTCGCCCAGCCAACCAACATGACGACAGCCCAAAAGAGAAGCCAGAATGCGCGCCACCAACTGCAGAAGAGTAGACTGAAAGAAAGAAATTGAATAAAGAGGGACAGAAGCCTAGAGAGGTCGATGAAAGGGTATGTAAGATACTTAGTGTTGACAATTGTTGCTCATTCATTGTCTGGACGAGTTCTGGTCTTGTGAACGAAGCGTCAACAAACGATCATGTCTGAGGCGCTTACGGAAACTCGTAGGTGGAGACTGCGTGGTCCTGGGATAAGTTAATGGATGGGCTTACGATGTGACGAGTGTAATGCGGTAAAGTCATGGTCGACTGAGGATCTGGGTAACACACGCAGAGTGGCTTACCTGGGTTCGGGATTGAGGCGCGCCGCACGGGCCACCTATTCAACGACCGTGAAACCGAAGTTTACCCTCACTTCTCTCTCCCAGCTTCAAGCTTCATTGAACTGCATCATTATATGCAGACACCCCCGTCATCTCGTTTATTTGTATTATAGCACGGGCTGTAGTCTTCTCGTGCCCACAGATGCTCCCCACTCAAATTTCTCTCCCGCAATGGACCCCGACACTCCCCACACCTCTCCCTCTCCACAACCCTCCCTCTTCCGCTGGATACTAGGCTTCCTCCTCGTAGGCGCATGCTGGGGTCTAACAACGCCCTTCATGCGACGCGCCGCCATGAACTACACCCCTCCCGTCCGTCCATCTTTGACCGACCCGAACAATTCTTGGCTGAAGCGGAAAGTGCTAGGGATATGGTATGCGGTGATAGGGGTGCTATCTAGGCCGGCATATGCGGTTCCTCTCTTATTGAATGTAACGGGGAGCGTGTGGTTCTTTATCTTGATTGGGAAGGCAGGTGAGTTGTCGCTGACCTGGAGGTTACGCGGGCGTTGAGATGATGTTGAAGGGTGGGCATCGAATGCTGATCAGCCACCTGCAGAGCTGAGTCTTACTGTGCCGATCACAAATTCGCTTGCGTTCTTGTTTACAGTGCTGGGAGAATGGTGGGCAGAGAAGAAGGTCATTAGTAGAGGTATGCTGGGTCGATTTGCGGGGTCCGAGCCCGGGCTAATCAGAGAGACAGATACTTGGATAGGCATGGCCTTTGTGTTGGGTGGTATTGCGCTATGTGTACAAAGCAAGGCATGAACATATTGTGATCGAGAGTAGATGCAGGTATCAGCAAGAGTTGTAGCTTCGCTTGGTTTATATATCGTTACCAGTACATGTATACTTTGGATACCTCTGATCTCCTTGATCTATCCAGGGAAATCTATCAGCTTTCTTACCCTATCGTTTCACTGCGGCTATACATCTCATATCGTACCACCGGAGACATAATGCCTGGTGTGTGACAGTGCCAGCTGACGTATTCTCCGACACATTCTCCACGGCTTTCTGGTCCAGAGCTAACCCGTGGCGCTGGAGCCTTCTGTGGTGTGCTCTTGCGGCCGTAGCTGGATGAGCCACCCGAAATATCCTGGAGGCGGTGCTTGGTAAAGGTTAGGGACAATGTGCACTGATCAATCCGCCCATCCCTTCTCTGGCCACCCGGACTCTCCCGGCCCGACCTCCGGCCAGCCCTCCGGAATAGTTGCAAACTGTGGTAGTTTGTACCTCTTCTCGCACTCTCGCTCCGTGCACGTCAAATTACACAGCCCAAAAGTTTCACAAAAGCATTCGCCAGCATCCTGACAGTCAACAGCCGGCATACCGAAGATAATATGCCACATATACTCAATGACTCGGCCGCTGATCTGATCTTGGAGTTGGGTTTCGAGGAGCCAGTTCCTGATCTTTTCGTATTGCTTCTTTGAGCGTGCTCGCACGCGTTCACGTGATACTGCAAATTGGCTGGAGCAGTGCGCTCCGACGACATCCGGGACAGTCTCTCCAGGGAATAGATAACGAAAGACACTGGCATAGGCAGCTTCATTCTGCGATCGGTCGTCAGAGTGGCCGGATGGGCGGAGTGGGTGAAGTTCGGAAGGGCAGCCCATGGTCCAGGAACAACGAAGAGCAACGAAGCCACGCTTTTGAACATGCTTTAGGCGAAGACGCTTGAGAACTGGAACGCCGTCATACATGGGATCTTCATTATGCCATTGATAGCGTAGGCTGTGAATGAAGATAGAAACGTTGGGAAGCGAATCATAGCGGTCGATGATATATCTAACCCAAGTCAGTAATTATGAATCAAAACAAAAAACTTGCTCTGGAATGCATCATACGTTAGAAAGGGCATTGCTTCCCGCCCTTTGTTCACGGGTACAGTCAGGGGTGCCGACACATTGTTAACGACATAGATATTCTTCCTCCAAGAGCCGAAAAATTCGTCAAGCCAACTCGTATCGTCTCCGGAGAGGCTCGCCACTACCAACTCTTTCTGTTCTGGTTTTGCCGGCTTCGTCTTGTTCTTATCAGGACTGGTCGCATGACCTCCTGACTTATGCGGCGGCCGGGCAAGGCGGGAAGCGGCATCACGGGAGAAACGAGAAGAAGAATGGTAGGTCATGTAAAGGAACACCCAGAGGAGAATACATATTAAGATTATCCGTTGATACCGTCGTGAAATCATCATTACAAGGACGTAGTATCCAGAAAGTCGCAAACGAGAATGAAGACGAAAGTTTGTCGGAGGGCCTGATGACAGGAGACCAAAGAGGGCCTGCGTTGGGGTGTGGCGCGCGTCAGCACGTGCCGGGCCGGCAGGTGCAGCCCGCTACCGACGACGACGAGAGCGGAGGATCACAGCTTCCTTCAACCTCAACCAACGTCGCCAACAACTCTGTATGTATATCCCACGACTGATTCTCGAAGCTTGTTTCTATATAAGCTTGAATCCCTCGAGTCGGTCATGTGGGCGTGTCTTTGTTCCTATGTCCATGGTCTGAGCTCGGCAGGGCGAGAAATTCCCCCGAGCCCGCACTGAGCCTGCCAAGAAGTTCAATTCCAACTTCCTCCAACCGAAGAGCGAAGTTTTCCTAGTACAATTATTCAGCACAGGACGCCTGAGTCTCACGACAGCACCACAGAAACGAGGCAGGTGAGGGAAACCTTTCAACGTCCATAACTTTGATAGTCGCGACCTCGCCACCCAAAGTGCAGTCTGCGTCTCGACAACTTCGAACAGCTCAATAGCGATCGTCTTCTAAAGATCAGCAAGGTGTCTGCCATATCGATAAGTGTGATTTCAGCTTCTTGCTTCAAAGTTTGTGCGTGTATCAGAGTGACTTGGCATGGAACTAACGCCGCTAACTCCACGCGTTTGACTCTTTTCGGCTATCTTGGGGGCCAGTTTCAAGAGGATCAGCCACTGGAGCGACCGTTTTGCCAGCCGCAGTGGTATTTATGGACATCGATGACGAGACGGCGTCTGTATCAGCTTTGTGGATGAGCATTTTCATACAAGCATCTCCTTGCTCTTCTAGCTTGAAATCTCGTCTGAATCCTTGGGACGAGGGCGACCATTCTTTTAGACTACGCAAGAACTTCGCCGTGCTTAATCCCCCAGACGTTCACGTTCGAGAATCACAACACAGCAAGCAAGAGAAGGAGCCAAATTCGGTTGCCGGTGGCGCAAAGGGCATTTGCACGCTGAGCCACGCTGCCACTGGGTTAAGCAGGGGTAGCTTGTTAGACTATCATCTGTCCCTCTGTCTCAAGTCTCAACGGTGACGTGCCCCTCAACTTCACTGAAATTCCTCCTCAATCTTTTCTATTTCCTTCCCTGTACAATCCCACTCTTGGCTATTGCCTTGTTGTATTTACGGCTTCGTTTCTTGCTCTTTTTCAATGCCTATTCATACAATCATGTTTCCATGGCGAGCGTTTGTCTCCATCGTCCTAGTAGCCTTCACATTCGCCTTCTTAACATCCGATTTAAACAGTCGAAGAACTGCGCATTCTTCAAATCTTAAGCAGAGACGACATGATACCAGCGAAGTGCGGAATGAGTTTGGGGCGCGACTACCTTTCTCAAGGGACCAGCAACAATACGACAGCGGGCTTCACAAGCGAGATGTGTGTAACGACACGTTCCCCGGGCGATTCTCGCAGACATGCGAGCCTTCGAATACTTTGTGCTGTAAGCGCTACAGGGCTTCTGGACAAGCAATGGATACTGATATTCGCAGGTATTATTCCTGGAGCAAGTCGACCAGCGTGTGTGAATATTCTGGGATTCGGTTTCTGTTGTACAGAGTTTGTCTCCCTCACCCTACGCCTGCATGCGCACACTAACATGAACTTCTCAGACACACTGACTGCTTTGTGGATACGGATTCGACTTGCGACAGTAGCGGTTCGAATCAATGCGCACCTGGTCTATGTTGCCCAGCTAACACAAATTGCGTCGATAACTTCAACTATACTTCTTCTAACCTTGTGCGGTGTAATGTCGATCGAAGCCTAATACCTGGATTTTCTTCTTCGTCATCTTCTCAATCCGCGAGTCGAACCAGAACGGCGACGAAATCGGCTTCTTCGACCGGAACTGCGGCTTCAGTGACGGTGGAACCGACATCTGCAGTCCCAACAAGCATAAGTCAAAACGATAGCTCTGGATTGGGTGGTGGGGCTATCGCGGGTATCGTTATTGGGGCCCTAGCAGCGATTGCCATTGGCATTGTCGTGGGATGGTTTCTATTCAGGAGGAAGAATAAGGCGGCAGGAACGACACAGCTGGTGCCGTACAATCCATATCCGCAACATCCTCAGGAAATGCCAGCAAGCCAGATGTACGAAACACAGAATGGATATTATCCACAGCAGCCGCCGAAGGAGCGGTACGGGCACGTTGAAATGCCCGGGGAGGGCCAAGTGCAAGAGCTCCCGTGACGTGATGCATCTTTCTAGATCGCCAGAAGGGACAAAGCATTATGTTTCCATTTAGATTTTGAGCGCTTTATGGATACTTTTATATAAGTAGATAAATCATGCGACATAGTCAGCAGTCTTCGTTTTCGTTCGCAGCCGTGGTGATGAACTTAAAGAACATGTCTTATTTCCGCAAATTACAGGCCAGCTCATAGAGTACAAGCAGGTAGGTTCTTGTATTAGAGATCAGCAGCATTGCGCGTCGTGCAAGAAAGGTTATCTGATGCTGGGACGCGCTGCAGGGCGGGGCCAACCAAAGGCGGGGCACCCAACCTCGCCTCATACTTCCCTCGAGCTATGGCCGCCTCCGATACACCTCTCCACCGCCTTGTCGAACCCCTCCAACGGGCAGGACTTCTCCTGAAAGCTCCCACTAACAGAAACACATCCCAATCTCCAACCTCGCCTCATCGAATCTCCAACAGCCTCCTCAATGGCATCAGAGGTGGCCGACGGGCTCACCCCGGAACAGCTCGCATTCTTCAACAACAACGGCTATCTCATCATTCCTCACGCGTTGACTCCGGAAACCGTATCAGAGCTCCTTGCAGACACGAATAAAATGCTGAACGACTTCTCGTTAGACGACCATCCGATGACGAGGTTCTCGACGGGGGGCGACAATGGCGTGGATCATGTTGGAGATGAATATTTCTTGGAGAGTGGGGATAAGGTGCGGTTTTTCTTTGAAGAAGGTATTTTAAACCCCTTCCCCCCCTCTCTTCCCCGCCATCTATCATCTCAAGCTAATATACTTGCTCAGATGCATTCGACAAAACTGGCACCCTCACAAAGCCAAAAGCCCGCGCCATTAACAAAATTGGCCACTACCTGCACGCCCTCTCTCCCTCCTTCCGGCGCATCTCCCTCTCCCCCCTTAATGCCTCCATCGCACGCTCCCTCTCCTTCCGCGATCCCCGCGTCCTCCAATCCATGGTAATCTGCAAGCAACCCGAGATCGGAGGCGCCGTGCCTCCGCACCAGGATTCCACGTTCTTGTACACTGATCCGCCAAGTGCAGTGGGCTGGTGGTATGCGCTAGAAGACGCGACGGCCGAGAATGGGTGTTTGAGTTTTGTGGGGGGGAGTCACAGGACGGAGCCGGTTCAGAAACGGTTTGTTAGAATGGAGGGGAAGAGAGGTACTGGGTTTGTGAATAATGATGGTGCGAGGTTTCCGCGGCAATTGGATCAGAGGACGGGGACGGGGACAGGGATGGGGGGCATGAGGAGTCATGCGAGGCAGACTAATGGACAAGGTGTGGGGAACAATAATAACTCGGGAGAGAAGAAGGAGGAGTACACGATCGGCGAAGTCAAAGCTGGCACTCTCGTTCTCATCCACGGGAATATTCTGCATAAGAGTGAGCGGAATACGAGTGGGAAGAGCCGGTTTATATATACGTTTCATGTTATTGAGGGCGAGGAGAGGTATGATGAGAGGAATTGGTTGCAGCCGCCGAAGGAGGGGTTTTCGAGACTGTATAACCATGACAGAGAAGGGTCGTAATATATACTGATCGCTTCGCCCAATACTTCGAACATGGAATCCAAAGGTTACCGAAGGCGTGACACTCACGATCAAACAAGCAGAAGTCTGGAAGGTGAGAAAGCGGAGCAATACGAGAATGATCTCTCTCATTGAGTCCCAGCTATCGCCCAAGTCAAGAGGTACGATCAGGCGAGTACATACAAAATGCCTAGGCTGTATGGATCAGAGGACCGCTACAGCCCGACTCTTTTAGTATAGAGACAGTACTGCACCTTGAGTATTGTTGGGTGGACAGGGGAGTAATTTATGACAAACACTTGGATTCTATTAAATGTCTCTAAATATCCAGCAAGAGAGTCAGGAGATTGAATTCACCTCGTTCAAGTTTCACAATGTCGATGGATATCCTAACGTTCTTGCTCTACATTGCAATACAAAACTTCTATCTATAATTGCAATATCTTAAACCATAGACTCTCTACAAAGAAACTTAGTGTCAGATTGAAGCACTGTTTCTGGGCTTCCTGAGATGAATGATGGGTTTGGATGTGATGTATGGGATGATGATTGATTGTCTTGATTTATCGATCCTTTTTCTGCTCTACTCGTGTTGCTCGGCTTTTGTTTTTCCGATCCGAGTCCCTCGCGCACTTGCCCTATGCGCGACCAGCTTGCAACATGCTGCAATTTGCTGCAACATGCAGCAATTTGCAGCAACATACTGTTCGAGCTTATTGCTCGTACTATGTAGCAGCTTTCGTCAAGCGTTCCTCCTGTCTTGACAGTAGGTGCGCATATCTGACACTTAGATGCAATCACCCCTAGCTTAACACAAAAGAAGATCATGCAAGGCCCTAACTTTTAACCTGGCTTAGTTAACATTAAGACGCCACGTGACTCCCATCCTGATTCTCTACTCCACTCCTAAGGCAACTTAGCCGCCAACGAACTCAATTGCCTGTCCCTCTCATCTGCGTATTATGCACCTATGAGGCATTGATCAACTAACCTTCGCACAGGGCTTCCAACAGGCCGTACTACCGTCCGTACAAAGTGAACCTTAACGGTCACGTGTTCAGTACGAACGTACCGAGTTTGTGGGCCGCACCATACGTTTAATGATGCCCTAGGTACAGTACGTAGTGCGGAGCAGTAGGCTTGTAGGGAGTGTCCAGGAGTTTTCTAGGGCTCTGATTGGCTGAAAGTTTTGTGAGGACAATGTTGCAAGGCAATCGCACGCTGTTAAAGGCGTGGCTTATGGGACAGATTTTGCGCTCCTAGACGAGCAGGGCAAGGCAATCTGCCTCTAGCTCTGCTGTTAGTATCATGAGCAAGGATCTTAAGGCGCTGCAAAGGTGGTTGATGGCTATAACTATATTGTTTAGCACCTACTAAGGGAGCATAATGCTAACTTGCTCTTAATTTCCATACTATCCCAGCTACTAATTGCGAATGAGTGTCTTAACGCAGCTAGTTGTATAGTAACTAATGATTGATGCTATTTAACTCTAGAAAAACTGGCTACAGCACAAGGTAGTAAGCAGCAAGCTTTCAGACCTCTCTGCTTTTGTTACTAGGAAGAATTAGTTATATGATAGTTAATTAGACCTTAATGATGCGTCTCTAGAGACCTATAACCTTAGCTGTTTTAACTAGAGTACAACGTACTTTAATTAAATTGTACTACTTGTACAGATCACGTGAGGCGACTAGTTACGATACGTACACCTATCTCTCCTCCTCCCTGTCGTACGAGCGTACACAAAACATCACCCGTACAAACCTCAAAATCGCCCAATCGTGCAGTACTACGCCTCGTTGGAAGCGCTGCCTCCGCCCCCCTCTCCCACTCTCTCCTCCGATCGCGGAAGCGCCTCCTCCGACTCCTCTTGTAAAAGCCTCCCACACACCTCTCCCTCTCCCTCCCTCTCCTATTCGTCCAACCCTCTCACTCTTCTCAACCCTCTCTTTCTCACCCATATAATGCGCACATCTCTTCTCTTTCCTACGATTCAGCAACCTCCCTATCTCAGCCATAAACCTCCTCACCCCGAACTGCCCTCTCACCTCCTGAATTCCGCTAGCAAGGCGTAAGCATCGCTGTCTCAGACTCCTATTCCCAGGTCATATTAAGGACTATGTTTCGCGGTTACAATTCTAGCTTCGCGGATATTCCGGTACTCTACTTCCTTCACGCACCCATTGCCAGTCCAGAAACCAACACTCGACCGCAATAGCTACAGGGTCTGCAGACCTGAACACCTGCACCGCCAGTTGCGTAACCTAAGGAAGGTAGATTAGCGTGAGTTAATGTACGAGAGAATTTGCCCGACGGGAACTCACTGGAACCCAACGTTGCAGTCAGAAGATGTTTATTCTGAAGATGTCGGGGACGAGGTTGCAAATGATTTAATATGGCGACTTGAGCTATGGTAGGAGGTGTGATTGGAAGAGGGTTAGGCTCTGCCTAAGTCCTCGCCCGACATCCCGAGTGCAAGATATGGTCATACCGCGTCCTACTGTCTTCTGGAGGCTTACGATCTAGTCCCTGAGACTGCTCCCTTTGCAGCAAATTGGACACAGTTCAGCCATAATTCCCGCATATCGAAGTTCGGCACAGGTATCGATCCTGCGATCAAGATGTCTACATTTCTGAAGTAGCACTTCTTACCCACTTGAGGACAATTCCCAATTCCACTCACCCCTAGACTAATGTCGCCAGTCTTTTCTGTGTGTAACCAGGCCAAGCAACTATACGAAGCTATTGGGAGCACCAAAGACATGAGGAACTAGGTTGATTGCTAAAGGATTGTACCTAGGGGTCTATATATATGCAAGAAAACGGGTTAGTCTTGGCAACAAGTGACTATCGTGTGAGCCATGCGTGACTACTGCAAACACCCTATCTACTTGTGCATATACTTCTCTATGTGCCATAGCTACCATAGAGGATCTACATCAATACAACACTCTTCTGCTACACTACTACTAGGCTTACACAGTGTCTCGATCGAAGCTCTCTTTGAGCCAGTCACAACACCATCCAAGAGCTAGTATATATCTTACGAAACTTCAATTAATCTAACAAGTGGTTAGAGATGCTTTCACGACAGAGTGCACAGAAAGTTCGCAGGGCATTGTAGAGCAGCAATTGCAGAGCACCCGCAACACAGACTTCAGAATTACTATCACAGGTTCTGCGCTCTATATTCGCCCCCGTCTCCGATCAAAACTAGATGAAAGAACCGTTATTTGCAATTCTACATGATTACCACTAAGCCAGCCCATCAGTGTCTCTTACGGCTGCCCACCTACGAAGAAGAGGTGATATTATTCTATAAATGTAGTATGCCGCCTTCCGAGACATAGAAGTTATTCTCTTTATCTTCAATCATTCCTTTTTGTTTCGTTTCTGTCATGCAGGTGCAGGTGGGTATCAAGAAAGACCCGATAGCCTCGCGGGTTTCCATGACAGCACGGATGACAAAGCGTTTGTCCTGTTGGTAATATTTAATTGCAACCCCGCGAGGTAGGGTTGCAGGACTCTGTACCATCTAGATATGTTGTTATTAGTCGTGCATGACAACGAGAAAAGGTCATAATCGCAGAGAGAATCCATTGTAGGGAAGACAGACTTCATTATTGACAAGCTGACAGAGGGCTAAAGTTGGACTGAAAGCTGATAGCGGCAGTCGTGCTGCATGCGATGATCATCACTAGAGCTAAGCAGCAAGGCTTCTGCCCAGTTTCTCAAGGGTCTTGTGGGGCTCACAGTTGCATAAGCGTACCGCTATGCCCGCATCTGTGGCTCTGGAGTGCTGCCTGTACCGACCTGCGTGGCGGGCATACGCTTTGAGCCCCGCTCACAATAGATGATACCTGCGGAGGCTGTAAAGATTTGCATTGGTTTTGGGCTAGTTAAAAGACGAGATGTTCTTGTAGACTTGCAGCGGTAATCTCTGTCTAGGGACCCCCCTTCAGGTTTAGTGCAGTCCCTCATTTATCCATATCGGGCATCACTCATCCGTCCTACTTCTTCCGCCCTTAACCCGGCCCTCTTTCCACTATCTGCTCAACGGAGGCTTGCGTACAAGCTACAATCCTCCCTACGCCACTTCATCGCCCGGCCTAATGCAGCAGCTAGCTCCGTCCCCACAATCCACCGCACGATAACCATGCCGTACCCGCCAATCACTAAGATCGCAGGTTAACTTTACCTTAGCAATAGCAGGAGTTCTCGTGATTATAAAATCCTTAACAAGCACAACATCCCCGCCGTGGTCTCTCTCAGTGGGGCGGCAATGGGTTCATTGGAGCCAGCCCTGGTATAAGAAGATCATCCTTAAAGGCAATTATCTCTTCATAAAGTGCGAAGACAGTATGACGCAGGATCTGCTGCCCAAGCTCGTCAACATTTGCAACTTCATCAACCAGCAGCTAAATCCGGTTCCGCCCTCGTCCATTGCGACCAAGGCGTGTCGCAGTCTACTACAGCTGTGATCGCTTATTTAATGCAAACTTATCAATACAACCTCGCTACCACCTTAGTCTTTATGGGAGAAAAGAGGAAGAACTAGCTAAGTAATAACTTCAAGGATCAGTTAGAGGTATAGGAAGCGGTCAGGGGCAACGTCTGGGCAGCTCCAGGAGTTCCCAAGGCAGAAAATGCGGTTTACCTGGCGAAGAGGACAAAGAGATTACAGGAGGCTAGGCTGACTGAAAACGAGCCAACCGGCGTAATATCCTTGTAACTAACGACCTACCTTAACTGTACCAAATCCCATTAATTAGATTGCGCCACGCCTCACGCGCCCTAGACCTCCAACCTCTTTTAGGAGGCTCTCCTCTGTCCTCTCTAGATAGTTACCTATTCCCCAATATCGTCAGGAATCTACAATAATGGTGGACGCGTTTTCGCTCCAATCCTTTTTGTCCCCGTAAACGTGACGCCCCTCCAAATTTTCCTGTACAATAGCTACCTCCCTCCCACCAGGGAGCGGAAGCCTATAGATTGTCTTACATTGGCTTCCAGAGGAATGCGCAGGGCAAGGATGCGAAAGCATTACCAGGACTCTGTTAGCCTGCTTTAAGGCTTTTATAGACACTTAGAAAAATGTATCTACAGCACTGGAAAGCTAGCGAAGCCCTTTCTTAATTACTACTACTATAAGCCTTGTTTAATAGTTAGAGCTGTAAGGCATATATACTGTTCTGTACGCAAAATCCCCTGTTGGTTGATTATTCACACCTTTTTGGTTGTAATGGCGGAGTGGTACAGAGCCCCGTTCTGACATCTACTACCTTACACAGCTAGGGCGTAAATTTTTGCAAAGGTTAAAATTATATTAGATGCAATCCCTCACTGCTTAGCGAGCAACACTGTGTGCTGAGAAAAATGAGGGGTACCTCAACTTTTAGCAGCTATGAGTTTATGCGTACAACTAATATTGCTATATTTTTTATAAAAATAATGCCCTATAGCTAATTCTAAAGGTCTGTAATCTACTTCTCCTAAAAAATTACGTTTGCATTGTTGTCTCTAAGCCTAATTTGTACGACGCTTTTTTTTATAGCGGAATAGACTCCCTTCCCTATAGTGCTAAATTTAAGTCCTTATTGCTCTAAAATTTTGTAGAATAACTTTGTCTAACCCCTAGACCCTCCCTTAGGTGTTAAGAAGTTATTATTAGCCCTATACACGCTATAGGGCGCAATTTCATGCATGGTCGCTTTGTCAGTTGGCACCTCCAGCAGAACCAAATCACTGATCCTTGCTGATTGCTAGTGGTAATTGCACGTCCCACGTTATAAACTTGCGGGTATTTTATTGTAAGGCATGTGGCTGTGTGGAATGCACAGTCTCTCGGACACCAATAAATCCGGCCTAGGATTGGGAGTGGTGTTGACCAGCCAACGCGTCTTAAGTTAGCGTCCTACTGCTCAACGCAACCATTGAACAATGAGATTCGGTCCAACGCACAGCGACACATACTTTTGTAACATAGAGACATACCATTCATGTTGCCGCCAAGCTGCGACCCCCAGCGTTCTCCCTTCTGCTAACCGAACGAAAGACCTGCTTATGCCACCACATCCTTATGCTTGCTTCTCGAGCCCACCAGCGCCGATTTCTAGACCAAGCAGCAGCCCCGAGATCTAGTCTCGGCTGTTGAAAGAGAATACGACGAGATAGGAAGGAGATAGGATAAGATAGAGTGCTGTGGCCCTAGAAATCGACTTGGGAAGTAGGTTGAGTGTGACTGGAAGAACGCTATGGTTGCGAGCACATGCGAAGGTAGAAAAGCCCGATATGTTCCTGCAAACACAGCTAGGGTAACGTTACGGTCAAATGACCAACGGCTCTTTGCATGAGCACTGCAATTTCTAGGCCGTAGAGATGTGCTTCGGTTTGACCTCTGAGCAGGGCTTCCAACGAGGCGTAGTACTGTACGATTGGGCGATTTTGAGGCCTTTACGGGTGAGATTTTGTGTACGTTCGTACGATAGGGAGGAGGAGAGGTAGGTGTACGTATCGTAACTGTTACGGCTCACGTGATCTGTACGAGTAGTACGATTCGATTAAAGTACGCCGTACTCTAGTTGAAACAGCTAAGACTATGGGTCTCTAGAGACGCAAGATTAAGGTCTAATTAACTATAAAATAACTAGTTCTCCCTAGTAACAAGAGCAGATAGGACTAGATGAGGCCTGTAAGGCGGCAAGAGGCGTGGATAGATAACTCTGGAATAGAAAATGGTCTGTAATAGGCATTTTTGAGACATCCGTACTACGTACCGTACCTAGGGCATCATTAATCGTACGGTACGGCTCACGAACTCGGTACGTTCGTACTGAACACGTGACCGTTACGGCTCACTTTGTACGGACCGTAGTACGGCCCGTTGGAAGCCCTGCCTCTGAGGGTCATGGGGAGTTTGGATTGTTCGTATGGTGATGGCCAAGCTTGGCAAGGTTCTACCCCATCACTATCTAGAGCTGCATACACTACACTTCTCTTCAGCCATCACTACAAACCATCGCCTCTGGCGCAAGGTCCTGGTCAGAGCGGTTCGGCCGTCCTCCCTGTTAGCGTGATCGATGCGTTCATCTCTGCTGATATCTAAGTGGGAAACCTTTGAACTTGTGATTCTATAATTCGCTATCTTGTCTTATGAGTAAAAAATGCTCAAAGCTTTGCCGTAGCAAATTCGCAAGCTATATATTCATCTTTATCCCCGGCCCCCTGTATGAAATAGATATATAAAAGAACATATAGATAATAAACTATGTCAACACAAACGCTCTAGCTTCTGTTAGGCTAAAATAGTATATATCCAAACTCTTCTAGTCCTAGCACCAATGCCAATTATCTTCCTTAAAACTACGGAGGCTGATGGCCGATACTTGAATAGTAGCCATTCTAGCTTCTCAGAATCAGGTGTTATCCATAGCCCATCTGAACTCAACGCTAGGCTGTTGTATTTTAGAGTCTGAGAAGCTGCCGTAGTTGTTATAGGAGCTAATTGAGTTGCACTGAGACTAATAGTCCCACCTGCAGTGTGAAGATATAAGCCAGTAGCGTCAAACGAGATGTCACGGAGCACTCCGCCAACCTCGAGCGTCGACAAGTACGCGCCGCTGTGGGTGTCCCAGATCTTGACCGTCGAGTCCCCCAACGCCGACGCTATCCGGGCTGAGTCGTGAGAGAAGGCCACGGAGGTGACCTCACCGCTATGCCCCTCAAGCGCCGACAGGCAGGGACTCTATTTATCTTCCATGGCTAGCTTTATTGTAATCTATTGCGGCTCCTCTCTCTAGAAAAGCCTTCTTAGGAGGCTTTTAGTTGGGCTGGATAGGAGTGCAGAAGCATATGTCTGGAGAGGACTCTTCTCTATTGCCAACTTATGAGACATAATAAACCGGCGCGCATCTCTAACGAGTGTATTTATTTATTCATTTTTCTATTATGAATAAGCAGAATGCGTGCGCTACTTATGTGGGTGTATATGTGTGTGCAATTGTTACCCAAAGTTTCTTGCGAAGGGTTGGGGTGTTGGAGTGGGGTATGTGTTGCGTCTCCGTCTATAGAATTGTGAAAACGTCGAAGACTGATTGGAGCTTCTATGACATGTTGTATTACGGCATGTAATAGCACGATAACACCCCAGTATCCATTTTTGGGTATGGGTGAGCATGGATATTGATCTGAAGCAATAGGGAATGACATGGCTATCCGAGTCTAGAGCTGAGTCTAAGTTTGAGCACAGTAGCCTTTGTAGCGATGTGGCTCGCGATTAGTCAAGAACTATCTGGGGCTAGAAAAAGCGCAGGGACAGGGCAGGACGACCTTTGCTTGAAGACCACTCAAGCAGTGTGTAGGGTTGGAGATATAAGTGTTCCTATATACGTTTTCCAGAAAATGAGTATGTGTAGGGGGATGAGAGAGAGGAGAGGGAGGGTATGGTGAAGAAGCGCAGGACTTAGGCTGTGCGTTACCAATCCAGTCTAGGGTTGAGCGTATGATTTGCCCTGGGTATCGTCTCTCAAAGTATTCTCTCGGGCGTATATCTAAATCAACCACACTTCACACTTCATCTCGGCCGCAACGATGGGACTGCTCTAAAGAGTGACGACAAGTTGGATTTTATTTTTTAACGCATGTTATTTTCTTTAGCGTATCTTTTCTTTTTTAACGCAAGTATGTCCCAGGAAGCTGGCAACCAGTGTCCAAGGTATATGAGCACTGGCATACCATTCCTGTTTCCTTCGACTTGCTCGGGGGGCCACTCCCCATCCTTCTTCCGTACTTGCTTCCGAAGAAGCGTCACAGGAGCCTCTCTCGAGGTCCCTGGTTCTCGGCGGTGTAGCAGTGTGGCAACGTATGAGGTCTTGACAACGTATTGGGGAACGTATAAGATCTTGCGGACAACGTATGTGGTAACGTATGAGATCTTGACGGACAAGGTATAGGGTTAACGTATGAGATCTGCAGGACAACGTATGTGGTAACGTATGAGAACCTCTAGGAACGTATGAGGCAACGTATGCTAGCTATCCGTTCTGTGAACGGAGCCCGACGCCGGAACTTTGGGTACGTCTGCAGGCTCTACCCTTCAGGTCGAGCCTCGCAGACGAAGTCAAGTCTCTCCAGGTCTTGGGCGTGGATTGTCCGTTTAACTACCGGCCAGAGAGTCGAGATCGGCATCGTCTTCGGTCAACGCAAAGTGGCTCGGATTGGGAAGAGAAGCATTCGCGGGCTCCTGAGGAGACGGCCTCGCTCGATTTGAATTTGGAGGTGAGTCTGCAGGCACAGGATCGCTAGGCGCACAATCGGTGGCGACCCTAGGATGTTGGGTATGTTTCTGGTTGAGTCTTGACGTGATCAAAACGGCAATGGAGAGACATGGAGGGACTGCATTCAGGAAGCTGCCGTTTTCAAAGCTCTGAATTGCCATTCCAGTCACCTGGATCAAGGCAAACACGGCAAAGAGTTGGAACAGAAACCTGTGTGTGATGGACTCGCTGCAGGATGAATTCGGCTGCGCTGGGATTCCGCGGTTGGCCGTCTCGGTTGACGATTTAATAGCCTGGCAGGTCAGGGCGACTGTCGTTGCTGCCCAAGTTTTCAGGATACTGCGAGCCATGTCAGCGTATTCGTTGAGGTACCACACAGTAGTGGTAACATGGACTGTACCGAAAGCCAAGGGCTCTCGTATGCCAGTGGTGTGATACCCCTTTGCACTGAAACAAAACTGATATCCCACTTACTTCCAGCGATATTTTGAAGGAAATTCGGGGCGATCGCCTTCCGAGACCATGGCAACCCAGAAGGTGGCCGATATGACACTCCCCGCGAGGGAAAGCTTTCTGGTCTTCGGATCAAGCCAATACGCTATGACCAAGTACACCAGAACGGCGCTAGAGATGATCCAATCGCCGATAGAATCATCTGAGTATGTGGTCCTTTTCTCTTCGGCAGGGGGAGCCTGGTGGGCGAGGAGAGGTAATGCAGTTGCAGTTGGTAGCATGGAGAGGCCGCTCATTAGAGTGATGATGCTTGGACAAACTGAAAAACACTTTGACAGGTTGATGATGGGGCTGGTGAAGGAGGACATGAAAGCGAGGAGGACATGAACATGAGGCAGTACGTGCTTCTCCCCAATGCGTCGTAAAACCATGCTAAGGGTTGACATGGTCAAGGTCAAGGCTTTGGATAGCCTGAAATCGAAATCTGAGGCTGGTGGTGGACGATGGCTATGTTCTTTTGGAAGCCCTCTCTGTTGGGAGACGCTATGCCGTTCCAGCAGGAGCCGAAGGATACTGTTATTTGCCCCGTAGTCGAAAAGACCAGAGATATTCGTGACAGCGATATACACACCCTGCTCTTTCCACTTGGCAGTCACTCTACCTATATGAGAGTCGAGTTGTGATTGGAATTGGACCATGGCATCTCCGAATTTCTCGGGAGTCAATTTCTTAAACAACACTCCATAGGCCTGGATAAAACTTGTGTCGATCGGCAGAGCGTGAGCGTTGGACGCCGCTGTTTGACGACCCAATATAGGATCCAGGAGAGTGAAGATAGATTCCCGTGCGCTTGGGAAAGGTTTCACACAGGTTAAGGAACGAGCGTAGTAGTAAAGCTGTTGAAGAGCGTTTGGCCTTGCCAGGATAGCAAGATGGTGGTAGAGACGGCCAACAGTGGGATTCTTATCCGCTGCCTTGGAATACCAAGAGCGGGCACCGGCCTGGAAATTGTCCATCAAGTTAGCATCCTAAAGTGTCAGGTGCTAACAACTAAATGGCTTCGATATTGCTCACTGACGGGCTCTTGATACGGCGAAGGAAAGGATATCGGAACTTACCCAAGTCTCCCTATCTCGCAAATCTTCATCCTCAACGGCCATCCGATACCGACCCAAATCACCGAGGCACTCAATCCACGTATCCTCGAAAGCTGGTACTGTTTCGTACAAAAGGGCCATCATTTGATAAGCAAGGTAGATAAAGGCCAGCATATAGTCGATCGACTCTGGCAGGCGCCGACGGAGAAGCTCCAGGAATGAGTGGATTCCATGCTTCCACATACGTGCAGGCATGGAATACTTTGTCGCAAGTCGTCGAAGAGCCGGGCTGGCCGAGGGATGCTGGGATGCGAGGAAGAAGTCGTGATGCTCATGGAGGAGAGTTCTGTGAAGGGCTATCAGAGCTTGCCAATGGTCTGGACCAAGCTTGGATTCGTTCGAATCAGCCGCGGCTTGGACTTGTGCACGGTCAACATGTACACACTTGGTCTCCACCATTGTCAACCCTGCGTAGATGCTCTTGACTTCGGAGGCCAACTGCTCCTGGCTTATTGGCCTGGAATCTGGCTGAAGAAGCAAGCCAGGATATCGTGGGTCGTATCTTTGAAGTTCCAAGAGCCCCGGTTGTCTGGTGGGTTTCGGGGGTTTCACGGAGTGTGTCTGGGAATATTGAGGACTGACAGTGGTAGGTCGAGGAGACGGTGGTGTTTGGGTGTACTCTACACTCCATTCGGAGTGTGCAAGGTCGGGTCGAACATCTCGAGGTCTGGATTCGGATGTGTCAGTAACAGAACCAAAAGTGAGGAAATCTCTCCTTAGGCCTGTCTCTGACCTTTTCGATTGTGTTCTTAATGCATTGATGTATCTAGTGTTGATGTCGATAGCCTGGCTCCCCATTCCGCCGATGGAAGTCATCTTCAGCGTACAGCCTCAGCTGAGCATCACCGAGCCTGTTTGTTGACGAGAGGATCGCGCGAAGAGAACAGAGAGACGCAAACCAGGAGGGCGGGTAGGAAGTATTTGAGAGCAAGATTGTAGCTGGAGGATCCACAAAGGTTGGGTGGTGAGGTGCGAGGAGGTCTGTCGTTGCGTTAGACGCCTGAACTGCCACTGACGTGGCGCTGCCCCAGCCCCGCTCTTTCAGCCGCAGCTCTCAACCTCAACATTCATTCCTCGTCACCTTCCCCGACTTGACAGAGGCAGTTCCTATCTCAAACAATACTCCAGCACATCTTCACGAACTTTTGGCTGATGGTTGCATAGTGAAATCGCCCCGTAAGTCGCCCTGATGCTACAACGAGGGTCGAACGTGGATGCCTTGAGAACAGATTGGGCTGACATGGTGACGAGATCTAGGACGAACCAGGACGAACCGTATTTGACGATAGACGATGAACTTTCATGCCATGGACTGGCTTCCTGATTCTATAGCTGCTGCCGTCTCCCTCTGTACTGCAGTCTTGTCAACTCAATACGATCTTCGAAGTGCTAGTCAAAGAATACCGGGGCATGAGAATGGCATCTCCAGCGCAACAGGAAGCGGTGTCAAGATTCTGGGTGCCTGTATAAGGCAGTGCGGGGGTTCAACAGCAGTTCCCTCCTCCAGGATATTCTGGATGCTGCAGAAAGGCATCGTGGTTAGTCCTTGATACAGTCCACGTTGGGAATCACACTGAGAGTCCCATTAGCGAGGCTTCCAAAGCATTCTCCGACTAGGGCGGAACGACACTCACATCTCAGAAAGTCTTTTCAATCCGTCGCCCTTGACCGTCTTCGCCGGATGGATGATCGTCGCTTTGGCGCTATCCATAACATTGGAGGTATCTGATGGCAGACGACGCCATGCGATCTTCCTTTCCTATGGCATCCTCGTTTCAATCATACTGGGTGTCGTTGAATGCGCTCCATTGAGTAGCGTACTTTTGACCAACGTTCCATGGTCTGTGGCTATCGGGCTTGCGTGTTGCGCGGTGTACCCGCGCCGCAAAAACGTACCCCAGTATCCAGATGATGAGAAAGATGGATAGCACAACCAAACTCTGATGGTCGAAGAAGCTACTAGCGAACCTAAATTCCTGAGAAAAGACGCTCGGCTCAAACACAATGCTACTAACGAGACCGGACAGTCTCAAGTTTGGCAACCAAGAGCGAGAAGGACAGTCACCCATCGGAAAGGTGGCTGCAATTGAGTCGGCTAAGACATCTTCCTCTTACCGACATTGTTGGCTCCGGACACTGCATCTCGGAGCGCGGAAAGGGGAGTCGAAACCAAAACACGAAAGCAAGGAATGGGTTGAAAGAAGAATGATGGAGGAAACCGAGTTTAAAGAAAAGGGTGGGGCTCTTTCCCGATCGGCTATTGTACCTTGGCAGGACAACAACTTGCCCGGATCCAGCGACTAATAATTAGTTTGACGTGGAATGAGCATATATTGCACAAATTCAGATATATTTACGCTGCACAGTGGCGTAGGTCTATTAAATGCGACTAGCTGCCTGATATGTTATGTGTTTAGTATCCGAGACTCAGGCAGCGGTGTCTAAGCACCGCAGCAGCATTAAGCAGGACACATTGCCCTGCAAGTATTTACCAAAACCCCAGCTTGACTGCTTTGAGCGCTGTAAGCCTATTTCTACGAGTGTTCCTGCTCCTTGCCATACAGCCGTTATGGGCGGAGGATTGGCAGGAGCTGCTCTAATGCAGCTTACTGCCATAATAATTAACGGCAGCACCTCCAATCCTCTTTCCTCCTTCCCTCACTCAGCCAAAGACGATTCCTCCTCCAAATACTCCAGCATCCTACACTCCCACCCCCCTCTCTATATCACTGCAACTCCTATCCGTACTCGCCTCGCTCTGATCCCTCAAGCGTCCTCTCATCCTCCCATCATGAAAAGCCCCATCGCCCTCCCCCTCAAAACCCTAACTCGCATTCCTGTGCTCCGTTAAGTGTTTACCCATTCCCGGTACGTTACCCTCCTTTTGGCCTTCACCTTCGCCCCGATCCTCCATCAACCGTGGAAAACTGATGAATCCCCGTTTCTGGCGAAAACGTCGCTCTTTCTCCACAAAATCCGCGAAACAGGAACTGCACATGTGGCATGGATGAGAGAGTGTGCCATCGAGGTGGGTAGTGGAAGAGACGATGCGGAGTGAGGTTTTAAGACAGGTGGGGCAGGTTAGAAGTTTGATTCTGGGGGTGGTGTGCTGCGTTCGGGGTTGGCGCTGATCCCCTCGTTTTCGGTTGGAATGGCCTGTTGTCCGGTGGTTTGTGGTGGTGGTGGTGGTGGTGGTGCGGATGTCGGTGTCGATGTTGATGTTGATGTTGGTTTCCGAATCCTGGCTCAAGGGTGAGGGTCACGGTCCCGAGAGGGACTTGGACTTAGGGAGGACAGCGCTGATCGAGGTGGTGTGGATAGGAGCGTCATGGGCGAGACATCGGAGATTGAGTTTTCTGCCACAGCTTTAATCCGGGGGGAGGGTGGGTTCGTGTGCCGGTTTGGCGTGCTCGGAGTGCTTGTCGGAGCACGATTGCGCTGGCGCAGGTGACGAGGAGTTGTGTGTGAGGTGGGCATTGCTAATGCTACTGATTTGGGCGGGGAGAAGTTCGTACGCAGCGATGGCAGGTCGCTGGGCTGGATACTAGAGGTCTAGTCGTCGCGAGATGTGGACTTTTTTTGGCAGACTTGGGATCAATCAATCAGTTTGCAATTTTGTAACTAGATTTTCCTATAAACTGCAACTCAATCGGTCAATCCGTCGCCCACATATTTTTACAAGCAATTCAATCGAGCTAGGGAAAACTGATTCATTTGATTGCAGCCTGACTAAACCGCCTAGCACTTAGGGATCTCCTGTGAGGCTGTAGAGCTAGCTATAATAGCGATCTTGCGATAGTTTTTTGGTGCTGAGTTTTTGGTGGGGCTTTACCTATGGCAACACCTGAAGACGGCAAATGTGTTAAAGCCCTTAGCTCTTGCTATTACTATTGCTACTCCACGTCCATATAGGCCAGATTAGTACTCAACGTTGTTGCTAGTAAGGCAGCGTAGCTCGCGGTCACGCACGCAGCGGCGTACATGGTCGTCAGAGAGCGGATCACCATCTCGGCCTACCTCGAGCTGTTCCGCGAGAGCGAGGAGAACCAAGCGTCTCTCCTCAACAGCAAGGAGGTAAGAGACTTACGGCGGGATAACAGCATGTCTAATGCGGTCATCACGACTTGGTAGATGTCGTTTGAATCAGATCCGAACGACCAAGCCCAAGGATGCAGAGTTGCTGTCGCTCATAGCCATGTTCGACAGGCATAGGGTTCCAGAGCAAATAGTGTACGGTGGCAGGAGCAGGCTGCAGTTCAAGGACGCAGTAGCGCCGTTGATAAACTTCTCTCTAATCCAGTCTCAGAGCACGAGGCAGCCAGAGCAGCAGGTCGGGAATAATCTATTCGAGATGCACGGGCTAGTACAGCTAGCAACAAGGAAGTAGCTAGAGCTATACAGGCAAGTAGGCAGGTAGCAGAAGGCAGCATTGCGGATCATAGCAGCCGCTTTTCCGAGCAGGCAATACAAGACATAGACGGCTTGCTAAACGCTCCTTCCACACTTAAGAAAGGTGCTTGGGTACGTAGAAGAGGAGTCCAAGGCAGCAGTAGATAGAGCACGTATTGCAAGCAACACAGGGTAGTATCTGCTATAGATAGGTAAGTGTACTGTAGCAGCAGAACTTACTTAGTTTCCAATAGTAGTAAGACACAGGATGCCTCAGCGTGGCCAACAGTCCGTAGTACGTAACGTAACTACGTGAACGTAGTAATCACGTGAGGCGTACAAAAGTAGTCAAAATGTGAGACGTAACTTTTGTACAGTGAATTGCCAAGTACGTCCCGTAGTACGGGTCAGAGAGGTCATATTTTGGGAGATTTCCCTCCTGTTTTTAGACCCTATTAGCCATCGCGTTGGGAGCTTTGTTTAAGGTTGCGTTTTAGAGTAAGAATTAGATAAAACTCTGTGTTTTATAGCACAGTAGCCTAATTAGTGTGCTAAATGGCCCCCTATAAAAATTAACTTTACTAGCGTTTAATAATACTATAACAGCTACATTAGAGACCTCTCTGTAGCTAAGGAGGGATCCCTGCTATTCTAATCGCCTCTTACTTAGTAGCTTAAAGTTAGTTGTTACTCCTACCCCACGCTTAATTTCCTCTGTATACCCTTAACAAGCTGCAACTGTAAGAGAGCCTTCTCTAGAGGCAGGAGGACAGTTATAATTAATAGAAACTGCTTAGCAGGTTGTATAATTAAGGCTCTGCAGCTCTAAAAGAACTAGTTACGTCATAGGGCTGTAGAGAGTGAATTAACTACTCTAGGGGACTTTATCCAGGCCAAAAAGCTTCTCCTGGAACAATTTTGACCCAGACCGACAAAACTTCTTGCGAAAAGTACAAAAGTATAAGGATTTTAAGAAGTTACTGTTACGTTACGTACTTGCTAATTAATTCACTGCTTACGTACAAAAGTACTACTAAATTGAGAAGTTACTGGCAGAAAAAAGCTCAAACGTAACGTACTACGTACTGTTGGCCACGCTGGGATGCCTAGGCTAGAGCACCGACACGCTAGCAAGCATGAGTGAACTAGCGTTGGTGCTGCAGTATCAGGGGAAGTACGAGGCGGCCAAGGAGATGAACTGGCAAGCGCTGGAGGGAAGAGAGAAGGCACTGAAGAAAAGAGCACCCTGAAACCCTTAAAACTGTTGGCAATTTTTCGACGCTGTTGCAGTTAATTGACAGATATGAGGAGGCAGAAGCAATAATTGTGCAGGTACTACACGGACATAAGAAGTCGCTAGAGAAAGAGCACCCTAACACCCTGACCAGCGTGAGCATCCTGGCGGGCGTGCTACGGTATCATGGGAAGTACGATGCGGCCAAAGACATAAACTGGCGAGTGCGGGAGGGAAGAGAGAAGGCGCTGGGGAGAGAGCACCTCAACACCCTGACTAGCGTATACTGCCTGGCTTTCCTTTTTATTAACAGCAACATCATGAAGCTGCTTTGACTTTATATTAAAGGGCAAGCAGCAGATACCAGCGCATGCATAGTATAGAGCATCCTATTACCCAAGCATGCTCCTAGAACTATTCCTCTCTAGTGTAGGAGATGTAGCAAGGACAGTAACCTGTCCTATACTGCCACTTGCAGGACAACTACGAAGGTACATTAAGAGTACATAGGGAATGTGTAACTTTAGTTTAATATGTCAGCGTCGGGGATCGGCTGTAGTGAGACTTTGCCACCACTAGCAGGGAGGACGGCCGACCCGCACCTGCCATGATCTTGCGCTGGAGGCGATGGTTTGTTGTGACGACTAAAGAGAAGAGTACTGCATGCAGCTGTAGATAGTGTAGGGTCTTGCCAAGCATGGCCACTATCATAGCTCTGTTAGCAATTTACTCATCCCTTACGAACATAAACAGCCGAAAAACTTCTCTCAGCCCTCACAGGTCAAACTGAAGCACACCTCTACCGCCCTAAGATTGTAGTACTCATGCATGGAGCCGCTGGTCGTCTGGCTGTCCGACTTAATGAACCCACTTGCCGAAGCGCAGGCTTCGACTCCTAGGGCCGCCGCGCTCTAACTTATATCTTTCCTATTATATCGCAATCCTGTTTAGACGAGCCAAGACTAGAGCTTGTTGCGGCTTGGTCTAGGAATCGGGGCCAGTGCACTCGAAAAGCATGGGGACGTGGTCGGCTCGATCAGGTCGATCCATCGGTCAGCGGAGACGACAACGACGGATTGCGAGATTCAGGGGCGACGTAATGGTATAGCTCTACACCACAAAGCGGATATCGCTATGGGTTGGACTGCATCTCGAAGTGTGGGATCAGTGTGTCGAAGCTGGTTTCGACCCTGGAAGGGCTTGTGAACTTACCAGCAAAACTAGTGATATAGCTCTAGTGCTCCATATACATAAGACTGCGGATTTATTGGCAGATATAATGCTAGTGTGGATACGTTGAAGTCACTGCGAAGTCGAGGTGTTTCCTTGCGACATACAGGGAGGAGGGGATTTTGGATTCTATATCTTCTTGAGTTAACTCAAGAAGTCACAACGACTTCCGCGAACTTCGTTAAATATGCTCTGTTTTAGTTGACTCTCTAGCGCAGTCACTACAGCGCTACATTCCGCAAGATAGTTTTCCAAGAGCGCCTTTACTACTGCTCTTTGCATGCCTACCTAGCGTATTGGGCTTGCTTTGTGATTTCGAGTTATCATATAATTTAAAACTTATTTTTTTTTCCTGCCCACTTACTATTGACTAATAGTTTCAAGCAGCGGTATAATTTAGTGTAGGCAACAAGGGGCAAACCGCAGGATTTTAGACGAAGACATGTATTTTTCTTCGACTTTTGAAAGGCAGTAACTTGCACTTACCATCTGCAATACATACAAATCCACATCACTCTTCCAACCCAAATTCCACTAATCCCTTCTCATCCTTCTTCATCCCCACCGGCCACCGAACTCCCGCCAAACCGACGAGCCCAGAGCTCATCACCAACGAAGCAATATGACTCTGCGGAACTTCTTCTAGCACCGAAGACCCGTCCGCAAATAGATTACACAGCCTCGCATTACGCAAGTAGTAGACACGCATAGATAGAAATGGCACAAAAGGATCAGAACGGAAGAACCGGGGGCCTTGGGATTCTGGCTTGGACTGCGGGGAATTCACGGAACGCTGTCGACGCACTTTTGCGGGAATATCGATGAAGTCCGAGAACCTTTGACTGGTTTTGTTTCTTCCCGGCGATACGTTTGGAAGATATTGTGGTTCCGCGGGGGGAAAGGGGGTAGCAGAGGCCCCGTTTGATATTGGGTCAGCGAAAAGTGGTATTTGCGATGTCTGTCGGCAATCACGGAGGATCTCCTCGAGGACGATTGCTTCGAACGAACCGCCCTTGTTTCTTGAGAAATGTTGCTCTATGATTGGGCTATGCTGGAGTAGAGGCGGCTGAGCCGCCCCATGAAAAGTATGTAAATGATGTAAGAATTCCTCCTTGAAAACATAGAATTCCTGCTCACACTCTCGATACTTGTGATATTGGGTAGCATGTTCGACATGCCCAGATTGGTGTCCAGCTCCACAGAGATGGCAGTGGTGGGCTTTCGGAGAGGGGAAGTGCGGACATAGAGGAGGCGCTGAGCTCTCTGATGCAAGGTCGTTGAAACTTGGTAGGAAGCGGCAGGACCAAACCCGGCAGTGGGAGTGCTTATTCATTGCCTCATTATTCGTGAATACCTTGAGACAGTATCGACACCGGAAAGGCCCAACTGTCTGAGGAACACAAAGATTCTCGAGGTGGGTTGCTAATCTTTCGGGCCACCAAACCGATCGATCCACTGCCCCAGATATAAAATGATTTGCAACGTGATCACAGCGCTCTTTCCAGTCTCTCAGTCTCGTGCCACAAAAGCCGCAATGTAGCATAGGATCTTCGGGCCGTATTGGGTGACCGAATTGACGCCATGTCATCGCCAGAGCTTTACACCCATAGAAGGAATTTTCTCCATTTGTCGTCATTCGGGATTGGCAGCCAACCTGCTCAGATGGATGCTTCGCCTTAGGGAAGTGAACGTGATGAAGGTGCTGAACGAAATGATCTCGCCGATAAAATGTCCGCTGTTGCTCGGGCTTGTTTCTGCATTGCTGGTATCTATGAAGGGCTAGATGGTAATCATCGGGCCGTTCACAGCCACAGAAGGGACAAAATTGCAAACGCTCTTGCTTTGAATTGCAGCATATCCACGTCGTTCGAAGTGCGTGGACAGAATCCTCATGCCGTACCCATTCATACTTGCTACGAAAAGCGCGCGGGCAAAAAGTACAGAAGAATGGTGTTTTCGTATCTGATTTCCTACCGTGGGAGCCGGTGGCCTTCGATTTGTTGTAAGGTGAGGTTCTCCAGGGTATTCGTCTTCGGCCGCGCCTGCGGTCACGGCCAAATGACGATACATTGCTTCCAATCGACGATAATGTATAGGTGGTTGGAGCAGATCCATCAGAGGAAGTAAGTGATGTAATAACGGAAGCTGATTTGCCAATCCTTGAACCAGATGATGAGTCCATTAGGACTTCCAGCCGATGAGGAGGACCACTCTCAAGAGCGGCCTCAATGTCTGACAATGATGCGGCTTCTTCTGGATACGAAGACTCAAGGTACAGCTTTAGAGATGGACTGGCTGATTGTGGTTCATTTCCGAGCTCCCGAGAGAGCACCTCAAGGCTTTCCTTCGAAAGCTTCGATGTAAGACATGGCTTGTCATCACGAGGCCGTCCAGAAGTGCAATTAGCAGCGTCTGGGGGGAATCAGTACCTTAGAGAGGACATATTACATTCAAAATATCTCACCTAGGCCACGCTTGCGGGCTCTTGTGTTGTTGTACCAGTTCCGGACCTGCTTAGGTTCAAGTTGTGTTTCTTTCGCGATCGCTTCTATCTCGGAAGTGCTTGGATACGGGTTATATCCAAATTTAAATTCAAGAGCGCGCTTCGTTCCGGATGGAATGCGACATCTGGGCCTCCTCTTTCTTGACATAGGTTGCTCTGAGTTGGTCCTAGCGGATTTCGTTGAAGACAAGCCTCGTGTTTTTGATGGAAGTATCTCGGTTTTCGAAGGAATGAAAGAATGCAAATGCTGGGGCGAAATAGACATTTCGGAAGGGTCTCCGGTGTCGTATGGAATAGCGCCTTGGTGCCACGACTGGTTGAGATCGAAAGCGAAATCATCGTTAGGGCTCACTGCCGAGTGCCAAAATGGAACTTTTAAGTCACTGAAGGGATCCGGGGTTAGATCGGATCTCACGCTCGTATTGGGGGTTTCATGCACAGTATGAAAGGGTAGGGTGGCAAGGAGATGATGTTGGTCAACACTGGGATCCCTCCAGTCTATGGACGAGGCTGAACCCAGGGCTGGGAATGCTTCCTGGAGAGGTGTAGGATCCGTAGTACCCTCAGTACTATCGCTGTTATTAAAGGGTTCAAATTCGCCAAAGTCGAAGAATTCTTCTAGGCAGTTCGCTGCAGCGGGCGTTGCGCCGTTCGTAGCGTTCGTCGCGCCGTCCATCATGATGTTTACTATTTACGGCTATCCTGGATTGATGTTATGCGGAGTTGAGCGCTCGGTCCATCTAGAAAGGGAGTAGTGGAGGGAATTGTAAGCAAGCGACATGAACGAGGAAGGGAGGGTTGCTTTGTACATTTGCTGGAAAATAGTGAGGCTGAGGACGATATGATGAAGAAGGCGTGAAACATTATCAGGCAACAAGGCGACAATAAGCTTTACCTAAAGTGGTTAGTGCTAGTCTTCTGATTGCTAAAGAGTGAACCATCCACTTTTCAGGGCAGTTCAAGGAAGTGGACGAATTTAACGACATTCAGTGTTTAGTCCTCCATCGCAAATTCAATCAGCCCCGTCTCATCATCTCTCTCCATAGACGGCGCCCACCCCGACCCAGCCATGCCCACCAGAGTCGACGTCATCACGAGAGATCCAATGTAACTATTTGAGAGCTCTACCAATCCAAGTCTATCCGCATCTAGCTCGGAAGATGTCTTACTGCCCTTCAAGTAATACAGTCCCGGTAAAGGAGAGAAAATAGTATGGAAAAAACGTGGTGGATAACACTTGAGCCTCTCGAATAATCTAAGTTCCGGCCCCCTGCCGCCTAGATCGCTTATGACCATAGAGGGGTCACTAGAGCGACCCGTGAGAGTCGTGGAGTGTGAAGAAGGTGTGTGTGTATGTAAGCGCGTTGTGCGCTCGGAAGTAGGAGCTAGATTTGTATGCATGTTTTCACGGCGAACTTGGTTGACTTTAGTGGAACTAGTCTGCTTCGGAATCGAAAGAGACAAGCTTTGTGTAAGACGACGTGAATTAACTTCCGGGACTGCATTTACAGCCGAGTGTGCTGAGAAGTGACGTGATGTAGGCGCAGAGGTAGGGTTTTGAAGTCGTCCTGCCAACTTATCGGGCGCATCCACGCCCGGACCGTCTTCTACCGGTTCAAATACAGGGACCCATGTTCTTGAAAAGTTCTCCTCTAAAATATCGTAATTTTCGAGAACCGATACATTCACAGCGCCATGGAAATCCCGCAGATGCCAGCAAAAGTCTAGAGCCGACTGGAAAAAATCTTGGTTGCATTCACGGTAGCTTCGATAACGTTTTGGGGTGAGGAAGAACTCCTTTTGGCCTAGGAAGAATTGCGCAATGTGCGACTGAAGGTTCTGCTGAGGGATATCAGGTCGGAAACCGCACTCAGATGCGAGACTTTCAATACTTCCAAGGAATCGGCATGACCATATTTCACATTTGGTGTGGGAGTGATCTAAGGACGAGTGAAATATCTGGCGGCAATAGCGACATCGCTTGAATTTCGAATGTTGGGGAATAGAAACAAGGCTTAGCTGCTGCGGCAAGCGGCCGGGCCACCAGGTAGAGACATCTTTATTCCCTTCTTTGAAATGACCGGATACGTGAGAACGACGTTGCTCCCAATCCAGAAACCATACGCCACAGAAGCCACAGTGTAAGGCGGGATCGTGTTCATGTAGCGGAGGAGCGGCGCGTCGCCATTGCTTTACTAAAGCAGCACAGCCAGATGTGGAACCTTTGGAGCAACCAAGGAGAGGATCAGGATGCTTCCGCTTAGCATAATGGACATCGTGGATATGTCGAATGAATTGATCTCGTCGATAAAAAGTTCGCGATTCCTCTGGTTTGCTGCGACAGGCTCGTTCCTTATGGCAATCATTATCACGGTAATAGGCAGAACCACCAGGGAGATGAGCCCCGCCAAAGCTGCAGTTCTGGTACCAGAATCCTTTGGAACAACAGACCCAGGTCTCTTGGGGGACGTGAACTGACTCTTCATGGCGTGCCCACTCGTAATGATTCTTGAAGCGTTGAAAACAGAAAGTACAGAAGTAAGACTGCTTGCGATCCCTGGACTTTGGTTCCAAACACACAAAATTTCCAGATACGGCTTCCTGCTTCTTGTTGAGCAACTTCGCATTGTGGCCTGCTGGTAATAATGAAAAACGTTTCCGACCCCGTCGCGAACCCCGACTGTATGAGGAGGTATGACTTCCCTTTGAAGATGTTGTGTAGCTTGTACGCCGTGTCTTGGCAGAGCCTGCAGACGAATTCCTCGCGGACACCACAGAAGCTGGTCTACTTATGTTTGAGGCGCTTCGCTTTCGGGAAGCCTTCCCGCGCGGGGGGTTCAAGAGAGAGAGTGGTGGGGACGTAAGCCTTCTTCTCTCGACTGCTGACTCTATGGCAGCGACTGAAGCTGGCTCTGACCGTAAGGAAGAATTTACCCATTTTTCGATAGGCCGCTGCTGCTCTGGGTGTGGTTGCTGCTCTAGCTTTTCAAGACTCTCTTTCGACAGTGGGGCGCGAAGCTGGTGGCTAATTTGATCACTCTTAGGATGGATATGTTCGTCTTCCACTTCAAGGTTGTCAATAAAAAACTTCATATTCTGTGCCTCGAGACGGGCCTTACCTTCCACTGGTCTCCGTGCGCGAGCATTGCTGAACCAATTGCGAACTCTTTTAACTTCCAGCTCTGTCTCCCGCGCAATCAACTCGACTTCCCAAGCAGCCGGGTAGGTGTTTTGGGAGTAATATGTCTCCAGTATCTTTCTCGTATGTTCTGGGATTCGCGGTTGGGGGGCCCGTCGTTTCTGCGCTGTTGCACTTGATTCTGCCTGGTTATTGGCCTGCTCCAATGTTGTGGATATGACCACGTTGGATCCCGTCCAAGCGAGCGACGTGGGTTCGGTTACTTGCCCAGCATCGAGTCCACCACTTAGGTGCACATCCATGGAGTTATCTTCCATGGTCACAGCTTCAGGAAGGGCGTTTCCGGAAATATGAGGATCAAAAATGCCATCATGTAATATCCCGTCCATGTTCTGTACAGTTTGAAATCCGCCGGTAAAGTCAGGCTGGAACACCGAAGCATCAAACCATTGACTCTCCAATGGGAGATCGGGCAAATTAGGATCGAACAGAATCTGAAAATCGCTCCATTGCGAATGCAAGTCGTCAAGCCTTTGGGATTGTTCAACCGTGGTCGCCATACTCCAAAATACGCGGAGAGAAAACAGGTGACCCGAAGTAGTGACAGAACGACAGGGAATGCATCAGTGAGGGTTGGCGCTTATATTTAGTTGCTGCGACAAGGCTGAAGGCTGAAAGATGAAGTAGGCGGCGAAAAGACGATTGAGGTGGTCACGATAGCACAGCCACTAGGAAGCACGAGCCACACAGACCGCCAATTGAAGGCTAGCCGATGCTAGGGCCAACGCTCGGACCGCATCTTCGGCCGAACTTCGGCACCACACCAAAAAGTTTCAACACCAAGTCCAAGCTGAAGTCCACGATAAGTACTCTCGCTCCCATTCAACCCCCCACCATCACAATGGCGGCAGAAGTGCAACCTCTGCAGCCCATAAAGCTACCAAAAGGTCCTTCCACCATAAGTGCAGAGCAACAATACTGGCAATCCTTTGGCACTCCCCTCCTCCTCGACCCTTCCTCGCACTCCTCCCCCATAACCCACATATCCTTCCCTCCTCCACCACCCAGCAGCCTTACCATTTCCTCCTCCGACCTCTTTGCCGTAACCTCCGGCTCCCGCATCCAACTCCTCAGTACGCGGACCCGCAAAGTCGTAAAAACAATCTCACGTTTCAATGTCGACGACATCGCACACAGCGGGAACATCCGCCGAGATGGCAGGATCGTGGTTGCCGGGGGAGACAGTGGAGCAATACAGGCGTTTGACGTGAACTCGCGGGCGATTTTGAAGACATGGAATGAACACAAGCAGCCTGTTTGGGTGACTCAATGGCATCCGACTGCGCTGACGGAGCTAATGAGTTGTTCGGATGATCGCACGGTGCGGTTGTGGGATTTGCCGAGTGATAAGAGCACGCAAGCTTTCAATGGCCACCAGGATTATGTGCGATGTGGGGCGTTTATGCCGGTGCATAGTGGGCTGTTGGTTTCCGGGAGTTACGATCAGACTGTGCGATTGTGGGATTCAAGAGCTGGTGAGAAAGCCGTAATGTGCTTCAAGCATGCCGCCGCTGTAGAATCTGTACTGCCCATGCCATCTGGCACAGCAGTCATAGCGGCAGCCGATAACCAAATCTCTGTCCTCGACATCGTCGCCGCAAAACCCATCCACCTCCTACGGAACCACCAGAAGACCGTCACAAGTCTCGCTCTCGCTAGCAGCGGAGAAAGACTGCTCAGCGGAGCCCTAGACGGCCATGTCAAGGTCTTCGAAACCACCGGATGGAACGTCGTCGCTGGCCTAAAATACCCGAGTCCCATTCTCGCCCTTTCCGTAATCCCCTCCGGTGCCCAAAGAGAAGATAAGCATATCGCCGTCGGCATGCAATCTGGCTCTCTATCCATCCGAACTCGCTTATCTGGCCAACAAAAGATCCAAGCCCGAGAACGAGAAAAGGAAATGAAAGCCCTCATCGAAGGCAAGATCGACGAATACGACAACGCCAAGAAACGGAAACGCGGGAAAGGCTGGGAGAAGCGAGTTCGCGGGAAAGACTTCACGGGCGAAGGCGCAGACATCGTTATCGAAGGCAACGCCCGAGGGAGAGTAAACAACAATCTTCCATGGGGACATGCGTTGCGGTGGGGACAGTATGCAAAGGCATTAGATCTAGTTCTCGAATCAAAAGTATCCTCCCCTCTCTCTCATTTCTGTGACATTACAAGGGTATTCAGGCTAACGACAGCTAGGATGGCAACTCCCGCCAACAAACCATAACCTTGCTAACCGCTCTCCGGCACCGCTCCGCTCTGCGCGCTGCACTCTCCAGCCGCGATGAAATCACCCTCCAGCCTATTCTCCGCTGGCTTATCAAAGCTATCTCTGATTCCAGGATCACTAGGCTGACGACTGATGTTGCGCTTGTCGTGCTTGATCTCTATGCTGATCAGTTAGGACGCAGTGAGGAGATTGATGCATTGTTTGTGATGCTGATGGAGAGAGTGAAGGTAATGGTTGAGGCAAGTCAGACGGCCTGGAGTGTGTTGGGAATGTGCGATTTGCTCGTTGCTGGGGCCGAAGGAGGGGCTGCCGAGGATGCTGACTAAGGAGGAGGAAGTTTGGTTCAGGCTGGGATTTTTGATGCATAGCGTTGGCGTTTGGCCAGGAAGGGAAAAGTTGGAGCGATTTTTGGATTAGAAAGAGATACCCGGATGAAGCATAAGATGCTTTGGATGATGGGATGTTCATGTTTACATTTGCAGTCGAACACATTTTCAATTCGCATGATATGATATTGTACAAGCCCGTACGAGGCTTTCTCCTGCCGTATTCTACAAACTTTACATTCACACTCCCACCTCGTCTGTACAGAAGGTAAAGTACAGATGTATTACCAGAGACAATATTGCCGTTGCGAGGTAACAGCTCGGTCGGGTAGCGGGACCCAGAGTTTGCGATTATCACGCTTCTTCTTGATTTCATCGGAGATGCGCATTCGGGTCTTTTCTTCTTTTAGGAGGACGGAGAAACCTACATGAGTTTGTTAATGTGGAGAACTGGTGAATGAGAGGCATGTGTGAGAATATGTGGAAGACTTACTTGTCGAACGATGAGTAAGGAGGTTCACCCTCCCTCTAGCCCTATACTCTGGACTCTTCTGCTCTTCCCCCTTGCCAACCCACGCTTGATCAATGTAAATATCCGTGGGATTCTTGACGACTTTCGTTTTCCCGCCTTTCAGCTCGATGGTTGTGCCTTCTCTCTTCTTACGGGCTTCAGTAGCAATATCATCCCACGTAAAATCCCCCTTCAATCCTTTTGCTTTCCCCGCCCCCTTCTCAGCCTGGTCCGGCTGCTCCAAAAGCCCCATTCCCCTCGCCACAACCGCCTCATTCCTTGCACTCTGCAGCCCCTTCGTCACATCCACCGCGACTTTTTTCTTCGAAAACCGCAACTGCACCAACGCCTCTTCAACCGTCATTCCTTGAATCTGCCGCATGAGTTTCGTCAATTTCTTCACACTCGTCGGCAAAAACGGGCTCTTATACAACAACTGCCTCTCCGTCCGTAACTTCTTAATCTCATCTGTTATCCTGCCCCTCCGCCGTAAAGACCGAATCACGATCTTGCGTTCCCAGCGCCGTCGAGAGCGCGGTGCGGGGTCCAGTTTTGCCTGCGAGAGTTCCCAGGCCCGTGCAGCTTCCGCTTGGGCTTCGAGTTCTTCTGGCGTCAGTTCGCGGGAGATGTCGGCAAAAATACTATTTTTGGGCAGGGTGACTTTGGGGAGTTCGGGGCGTTGGAGGTGATCTTTGGAGGCATTGCGCTTTTCCAGGGCGGCGTACGGGAGGTCGTCGGCGATGGTGAGGTTGGCGGGGGTGTCTTCGGAGGAGTCTTTGGGGTTGGCTTTGGAAGCGTGTGTGGGGATCCCTTTGGGACTGGCTTTGCGGTTTCTCTTGAAATAGACTTTGCGGTTGCCATTGATATACAGTTTACCATTTCCTTTGGGATAGGCATTGGGATAGGCTTTCTGGAGATACGGTGGGACTGGCGCGCGGGGTGTGGACTGGAAGCATCGCGAGGATATGAGGGGTGCTGAGGATCTTGACAGGGCGGCGATATCTGCGGAAGGTAATCGTTAGCACTAGCCACAAGCATAGGAATCAGCTGAGAGAGGCAAGCACATACTCGCCTGGCCAAGAGACCTCGATGGTATCCACACCCTCATGGCGATCTGGGGGTCTGCGATGGCAGGGAGTTGATGGGTGCGCGATGGTATGAGGTTCAATTGAAATTCTGATAGCTTCGGAACTACCCGAGAATGCTAACAGGGTTCTCATGGGGCTGATGGGGCTGATGCACGTGATGATGACGATCACCTTCATCCATGCAAGTCGCGATCAACTCCCTTGCGCTACAGTTTGGCTGGAAAATCCCCCAGAAACGTGTCGAGAAAGTGCGCTACGATTAGGAATGAAGAATGATTACATAGAAGAGCTCCGCCCACTCACTAGTTAGTGAATAGGCTTGCGACTCTGCATCTGATTAGATTGGCGAGTGCTTGGTTCAAGCAGCTCGGCTGGTGCATTAGCAATGTGCCACCCAGAAGCTTGATGTCGTGCACTTGGCCAGTCTTTCACTCAACACCACCACCAGCGCCTCGCGCTCCACCGCATCCTCTTTTTTTTTCCCCTCTCTTCACTGTCGCACCGCGCCGCTGCCTTGGCGCACTCGCTTGTTCCGTTTCGTTTTCCATGCCGCCCTCCAGCGCAGCTTCCGTTCGCTTCACTTTCCTGCCCTAAACACGTCCGCGCGAAGCTGCCCATCGACAATTATCTCGCAGCGTTAGGAACGCCCGCTGCGCCATGGATATCAATTCTCTGCTGTCGCCGCAGGACTCGTCGCCCACAGATACTCCTCCGTCTGTGAATGCGCAGGTGTCGCTGTCGCTGCAATCGCCTAGTCAACGTCCGATTCGACAGCTGCCCTCGCGCACTCCATCCGGCCTCAATCAGCAAATCACCTCATCCCCACAGTATCACGGCGACCATCCGCGCTCTCCATATCACCCACCGCTCCCCGCTGCATCTGCGCTCGCATCACCCGGCCTTGCTAACTTCGTAAACGGCCGTGCTATTCACAGTGCAACCAGCACGCCGTCAATGGACTCACAACCTCCGCTGGGCTCACCGCATGGCGCGCACATGACTTCTCCCTATCCCATGCAACGTCATCCGTCGACGCAAGGAATGGAAACACTTGCAGGTATTTCCTCTGATTCGTTGCAAATCCCTGTCTTCCCTCACGACAACTCGGTATTGATCACGACATGACAGACTTGGCCGCAATGACGGCGAGACAGCCATCGGTTTCACTGCGCGACCCGAGCCACTACGGACGGCCGATTAGCAGGTTCGTTGTTGCCCGCGCCCTCGTGACTTCGCGAAACCCCCGCTAACTTGACTCTGCAGCCTCAGCACCTCTCATCTCCCTCACACTCCCGACATGACCATGGGTGAAGCCTCAACCAAGTCGCGAGTCTTCACAACCACGGCCCTTGATGCCGACAACATCGCTGCCCTTGAGAAACTCCAGGACCAGCTCAATGCCAACCCTTTCGACTACTACAGTCATGTCAGCTTCATCACTATCCTCCACCTGGGTCTGCAGGCCCACATGTATCCGGACCAAGAATCGTACCAAGACCCGTACACATACGAGCTTCTGACCATCCTCCGTGAAGCATACGACGATATGGAGAAGAAGTACGCGCTTGGAGAGCAGTTGTGGGAATATCGCATCAGCGACGAGAAGGCTCTGGCTCGCAACACCGAAGAGCGTTTAGGCGTCATCGAGTTGTGCAACAAGGCCGTCCAAGACGAACCGTACAGCGTCAAGCTGTGGGTCTTGTACGGCGAGTATGTGGCCCATCTGATCGCTTGCTCACATAACCCCGATCCACCTGAGCAGTGGAGTGATGAGGACAAGATGCTAGGAAAGGAGATGTTCACCACAGACTTGCTGTTGAGTACCTGGATGCGAGGCGCCGACTTCGTCAAGTATAACATGGCCGACAGCCATCTCGTCTGGGACCGTTACCTGGACGTTCTTCAAGACGATCTCAAAAACAACTTTGATGAGGAGAAATCACGGAGGGTCCGTAACATCTTCGACGAGCGACTCAATCAGCCACACGCGACGTGGGATACAACATTCTCCAACTTCTCACAATTTAACACAACTTATAATTCCCAGAACTACATGGACATCATGGCGCGCGTTACCCAGACCACAAAGAACGTCAAAACCCAGCATCTCCACCGCGACAAATACGAGTTCGATCTTCTAAAGGCGAAGCAATCCGGTGATGAAACGCTTGCGTCCCACGCCTTCATCAAATATCTAGAATGGGAGACACGGACGCATGGTCCCTTCAGCTTCCACTTTGTCCCCGCCGTCTATGAGCGTGCTGTGGTTCATTTCCCTGTGGCCTCTCGCCTTTGGGAAGACTACATTGGATTCTTGATCAAGCACAACAACGGTTCCGTATCTTTGCTTGATGTCCTCGAGCGGGCGACGAGGCACTGTCCGTGGTCCGGCTATCTGTGGTCGCAGCGACTACTCACCCTTGAAAATGAACACAAGAGCTTTGAAGAGATCGAGCGCGTTAAGCATAGCGCCACACATACTGGGCTTCTAGAGCATGGCGGCCTCAAGGAGCTGTATAAGGTTCAAGTGCAGTGGTGCGGCTATCTCCGACGCAAAGCTTTCGACAACCCGAGTTCCACTGAAGATGATGCCGACATTGCCGAAGTTGGCATTCGTTCTGCCCTTGAGCTCATCAAGTCCATAGGCGCGAAGAAGCTTGGCAGGGAGTGGAAAGGCGACATGCAGTATGTCCTCGAACGGATACACATCAAGTATTGGACGCAACGCGGCAACTTAACCGAGGCGCGACACATATGGAACTCCCTCGTTCCCCACCTCCAGGATTCGTACGACTTTTGGGACCGCTACTACATCTGGGAAATGGTTCTATGGTCTAACCACGCGGTTCGTGACAAAACGAATGAGGGCCAAGAACTAAAGACTCCAGTCCCCGCCACCGCCGTCCTCGAGCGAGCTCTCGAGCGCATCGCGACGATCGACCAACCCCGGAAATTGCTTGAGATGTACACAAACCATTGCGAGCTGCATGAGTCTGCCGCAAAAGTACAGATGGCGATTGACCAAGCCCGTGTCGCCGAGTACGCGGTCCAGCAGCGCGAGCAGACAGAGTTGGTCGAGGCCGCTACCTCAGAGCAAGCAATTCAACATAACCAGAATGGAGAGGCCTCCAGTGGTAGCAAGAGGAAGCGGGATGACACTCCAGATTCTGAACAGAAGATTGAGGACTCGACAACAAAGAGGAGTCGGCAGGCATTGGATGACGCACCCCGAGAACGCCACCTCACCTCGATCATTGCTCGCAACGTCCCAAAAGACGCGACGAATACTGAGGTCCGTCGGTTTTTTACAGAATTCGGCGAGGTGCGTAGTCTCGTGGTAAAACCGGCAAACGACAGCGTTACTGCTATAGTAGAGTTCATGACACCGGAAGACGTTGATTATGCTCTCGACAAAAGTAACGCAAAAGACTTTGACGGCCGGACTATCACCATCACCAAAGCTAAGCACACGGTTGTCTTTGTCTACAACTACCCACCCGAAGCTGACGAAACCTGGATGCGCCAGCTATTCGAGAAGTATGGTGAAGTTGTAGACGTCCGCTTTCCATCTCTAAAGTACAAATCCCATCGTAACTTCTGCTATGTTCAGTACCTCAACACGGACGATGCCGAGGCCGCAGTGAAAGATCTACATGGCACTGAACATGATGGCAGGAACCTCGAGGTTAAGATTTCGACAACCGCTCCTATCAAGCAACACCTTTCTGCGATAGCAGAGGGTCGGGTTCTTTTCGTCAATCATCTCAGTCCACAGTACAATGAGCAAGAATTGGAGGAAGGTATCAGGAAGAAATTTCCTCGACCGGACAAGATTGAGTATGTTCGATGGCCGAAGAAGGACATCAAAGGCAATCACAAGGGATTCTGCTTCGTCTGCTATGACACGAAGGATAATGCAGAGTTCGCGTGCGCTCAGCTCGACGGCGAGAAGCTCAAGGGTTATACTCTTGGTGTCCGCATCACTGAGCAGCGCGGAAACAAGGGCGGAGAAATCCCTCCGACATCCACCGAAGCTCGCACGACTTCTGTCACCAACGATGACGCCGCGTCTCCATTCGTCCCAGCTGCAGCTTCCATCCAACACACAAAGGTCTCTGCCCGCACCATCGCCATCCTTAACATCCCAGACACAGTCACTGATGCCCGGATTCACGCCCTCGTCGACCCATACGATGTCAAGAAAATCACCCTTCGACCGCAAAACGGCGGCGCTATCCTCGAATTTCACACCGAAGAGGCGATGGGCAAAGCCAGTCTCGAACTCGACGGTAAAGAGATCGCTCCGGGCCGTCCGATTGCAGTCGGCACTGTGGATCAGCTGTCCCGCGCAAAAGGCGAATACCGTCCCTCTGGCTTCGTCCCGGCTTCGGTTCGGAAGCGGGGCGGTGGAGGTGCGGGTGCTGGCACGGGTTCGGGTGCAGCGGGCCGAGGTCGGGGCCGTGGCCGGCGCGGCCTGGGCTGGGGCATGGGCTCCGGGATAGTGGGTAACAGGGTCGAGAAGTCCTCAGCCCCCACCGCGCCGAAGTCCAATGCAGACTTCAAAGAGTTGCTTCGTGGGGGCACCGAGAGGGAGAATGAGGGTAGGTAGTGCAGAGTAGCGAAATGGGTTAGGGAGTGAGAGAGCCTGGTTTAAGCAGATAACAGAAGTCTACAATAATTCTGAATACTAATCTTAACAGACGTGCCTTCACTTTTAATGCATAATACTAATCTGTGGGATAGAGTTCAGAAGAGAGCAGGTAGTAGAAAGTGTATAGACCTGCAGGTGTCACGGTTATCTGACTCCTGAGTACCCTAAGGGTTTAGCACCGTGAATATAGGCTCTTCGGGCTCCGTACCTCTGCCTCTGACTGCTAAGGTTTACTCACTCTCTTTACCCCAATCCTGCATTCCCTCTCTGTGCGTCGTGCTTCCTGTCTGTACCCCTCACAGCAGACTAGAGTTTTCGAACAGGATAGATGGGAATTATGTTTGCAAGGTTAGAATTTAGAGAAATTCTTAGAGAAGACCTACGTTTAGACGTGCTTATATCATGCACTTATTTCTATCTTTTCTTCTACTAATTTGCAAGATGTTGACTTTAGAAGCTCTCCTATAATTAAATAAGACTATCAGCTGATAGGCAAATAGCTTAGAAAGAATCAAAAGAGAAGAGAATTTCCGGAGACGATACGTTTAGACGCTTTAACATAACGCGACCAATTTTCTTTCAATTCTATGGTTTGCAGGATATCTGCTTTTTAAGGCCTTCCTATACCTATAATAACTCTAAAGGCTTAATGAGGGGTTCTAGGAAAGTAGAGGGAAACATTCTCCTTGCTAGAAATTAGAAAGAGCAAACTCGCAAAGGATTAGATAATGTTTATGTAGAGAGATGCGTATGGCTTGCCTTTAACTAAACATGTGTGCAATGTCTATGATGTGGCAGAATTCTTCGAGAAACCGGTTTAGAAAGGGGGGGAAGGAATTTTGCTTGCCGCAATGGATGTAGAGAAAATCTTGATGGGACGCTTGTGCAACATGTGGGCCGAGGTCACAAATAAGAGGTTCAAGGTTAGTCATCCGCCAAGCCATGACATTAATAGTATATCTACAGCAACATTTGTATGGCTGATTCAGCGGCTTAGCGAGATTTTCGCTAGCAGGGGGGGCCGTGCGCTCATCAACTTCCAGTATCCACCCATGTCCATTGCCCACCCTCCATGGGCGATATCTACGCCGCCACATGTGCAAATAGCCTGATTTTTGGTCTTATAATAGCTGCCAGGCTGCTCTAGCTTTAAAGCGCTGCAGAGCTGCATTATAATTGCTATTACGTTGCTAGGAACACACTGTATGGCTGCTAGGTACCTCTTTATAAATGTTACAGTGTGACAGAAGTATACTGTGCTTGCATAGTATTCTAATAATGCAGTAAATTGCAAAATAATGTATTAAATTGCAACAAAAAGCAGCAAATTATAGAATAATGCAGTAAATTATAAAAAGACGCAGTAAATTATAGAATAATATAGTAAATTATAACAAAACACAGTAAATTGCAGAACAATACAGTAAATTGCAACAAGACGCAGCATATTACAGAATAATGCAGCAAATTGCAATAAGACGCAGTAAATTATAGAATAATGTAAAATAAAATTCTTACTTAGCAGCTATAACTATTTAAACACTAATTAATTAACTTTTATAATAATAACTATATATAATACTAGGACTATAAAACTAGGGGTAATTGCTCTTCTTTTAAGCAACTCTAAGATGCTTGCAGAGCTAGTTTAGTAAGACCCTCTACTACTGCTGCTGCTAGCTTACTTGCTATATAGCTACCTTCTTACTAGTCCTTTATGCCTATATAATGCGCCTAATCTTTTTAATAACTTTAAGCTATAAAAAGTACTACTATAGCTTACTCTAATAACTTAACCTTTATTTATTCCCCTAGCGCCTGTCTAGCTTAGCAATAGAAGGCTAGCCCTACAGGCCTACTGTTTATTTGTGCTAGAGATCCTTTATAGTTCTTATAGCGCAGCACATGTAATGCTTTAGTGCAGGTTTTAGCTTAGGCGCTAGCTTAAGCGCTACTAGCAGCGGCAATAGGCTAGGCAAGCGCGCAGACAGCGTAGGCGCGAGGCTGGCCTAGGCAGAGGTATACCTGCTTAAATCTACGTCTGCCAGCAACAGCGGCGCAGCTGCTGTGTGCCTGAGTGGAGGTAGTAGCAGCAGCAGACCGCCCTGCGCCTGCGATGCCTCTAGGCGGAACATAAGGCTGCTAGACATAAGCACTTGCAGCTACTAAGACTATAATTTTTATAGCTTACATACATAATTAAGCTTTTTTTTAAGCTCTTTTTTAAGCTTTTTTATTTACTACTTATTTTAAGCATTTAGCGCTTAGAGCTAGTTAGTAAGTAAAAGTATTACTTAGTATAAAACTAATAGCTAACTAGAAGCTGCCTCTGCGTTAAGAGACGCGTTAATGTCCTAAGTAAAGGCAGCATACGCCCTGTGCTAGAACACTAGGTGGCTCTACACAGGGTGGCTAGAGAAGCGCTAGCGCAGCGTAACTAAGTCCTAAAGAATTACCTTTTTAAAGTAGAGTAGTAGGCTTATAAGGCCCCTTATAGCTAGGTTATTAATCTAGCTAGTATGTAAGCTAAAGCAGCCCTTCTACGCATTAAGCTTTAGCTAGATAAGAGACAGAAGCTTGTCTAAAAGCATAATAGCTATGCAAGAGATCTTAAAGCAGCTTATTTATAGCAGATAGCTAGCTATAGACCTTATAAACTTTTATAGTAGTAAGTTAAAGTAGCAGCTAACTATTTACTTTTAATTTTACTTACTTACTTACTAAATTTAATTTTTACTAACTTTTTTAAGCTTTACTAGCTTAGCTGTTTTACTATGTAAAAAGTAAGTTTTTTTTTAAAATAAGATTTTAGTGTAACTATACACCTTTACAACCTAGTTGCGCTAGAAGTTGTAGGAGAAGGCTGCTATATAATTGCCTATGCTAGCCTTAATTAGCTATATATAGTACTAGGCTAAGCACTTACTAAAGTTAGAAAAGGGCTTGTTGCCTAGGTCTTAGTAATAAAGTAGGTAGAAGGCTAGGCTACTAAGCATACAAAAAATTAGCTTTTTATGCTACAGCACACTTATTATTTTAAGCTAGCTATGCTAGTTCTACTTACTTACATAAGTAGTAAATATTAAAGGCATGTAGTATGTAAGGCTTTTTTTTTTAAACTTAAAAGTAAATAAGTTTAAGATCTTTACAGAATAGCAGTTGCCTCTATATATAAGTATATAGTAGCCTAGCATAAGATTAACTAGCATATAGAAGTAACACTCTACTGTTGCTAAAAACAAGCTTGCGTCTACACTATATGTCTATAGCTTACTATAAAGCTGCTTAAACTTATCCTTAGTGTAGCTATTAAGCAGCATGTCTTTGCTTTTATTAGTGTACTGCTCTTAATCTTACTAGGCATCTTTACGCTATAAAGACCTAAGGTACTCCCTTACACTATCTACACATAGTAATAGGTAGCTGTTTATGCCTAGCGCCTTCTACTCTTACTAAAAGTTAGTAATAGCTATAATATAAGTGTAAACTAAGCACTAGGCAAAACATATTTTATTTTAAGAGATGTTACTTTTTACTTTATAAGACCTAGTTTTTAAGGGCTAGTTTATAACTTTTTTAACTAAAAAAAGCAGTAGCTTCTTTTTTATAATAGTGCTACTATTATAGTACTACTTCCTTTTATAAAACGCCTAGACATAAGAGTTAGCACAGACACAGACACATAGATAAGTAGGCAGGTAGGCAAGAATACTACTTTAAATTTCTTTTACTTTAGAACATAAACCTAGTGCGTATTCTCTAGCTACTACTTATAAATTATAGCTAGGATATAGTGCATATTAGCGTGTAGCTTAGTGTTATTTATAATGTTAATATCTACGCGCTTACAACACACCCTACACTATAGACCTATACTTGCTTGCCTTACCCTACTCTTACCCCTAAGTAAGTGTGTATAGTAAGAGAAAGTATATATAGCAGTAAGCAGTACACACTAAAGCTTAGGCTTAAAATAAAGGTAAGAGCAGGGCCTAGCCTGCCCTAGGGCCTCTCTATCTATACATATATGTGTGTGTGTGTGTGTGTGTGTAGTACAGGAGCCATCAGCAGCGGGCTCAGCAGGCGGCCGGTGCAGTAGGAGATGTCCACCGCACAGGCGCAAGAGCTGGGGGTGGACATCTGCAGACACCTGCAGGAGGTAATTAGTTAAGAAGTAAAACAGTAACTTAGCTAAGGCTTAGTATAGCCTTAAATACTAATAGTATATTTATAGTAATATTTATATAGCTAATTTAGCAGCTTAGTAAAATTTTTGCTAGTAAAAAAAGCTATGTGCTTATTAACTTTTAGTATTTACTTATATTTATTACCTACTTTTTATAGGCAATATCTATGCTACTATATGTGTAAATAGCTTAATTTTTAGTCTTATAATAGCTGCTAGGCTGCTTTAGCTTTAAAGCGCTGCAGAGCTGCATTATAATTGCTATTATGTTACTAGAAACGCACTGTATAGCTACTAGGTACCTCTTTATAAATGTCACAGTGTAACAGAAGTATACTGTGCTTACACAGTATTCTAATAATGCAGTAAATTGCAGAATAATGTATTAAATTATAATAAAAAGTAGTAAATTACAGAATAATATAGTAAATTATAAAAAGACATAGTAAATTATAAAATAATATAGTAAATTATAATAAAACATAGTAAATTATAGAATAATATAGTAAATTATAATAAGACACAGCATATTGCAGAATAATGTAGTAAATTACAACAAGACATAGTAAATTATAAAATAATGTAAAATAAAATCTTTACTTAGTAGCTATAACTATTTAAACACTAATTAATTAACTCTTATAATAATAACTATATATAATACTAGGACTATAAAACTAGAGGTAATTGCTTTTTTTTTAAGCAACTCTAAAATGCTTGTAGAGCTAGTCTAGTAAAACCTTTTACTACTGCTACTACTAGCTTACTTACTATATAGCTACCTTTTTACTAGTTTTTTATACTTATGTAATGTGCTTAATTTTTTTAATAACTTTAAGCTATAAAAAGTACTACTAT